TACCATCTACCAACTCTACCGTCATTGCACCTCCAAATTACACATACTGGCCTAACTCCCGTCGAAAAATGCCAGACATCCTGGATATCTTCGTCACTAAGATTCCAAGGAACCTCCACACTCAAATATTTAATCTCATTGACCCATGCTCAGACCATTCACCAGTCATGCTTTCACTAGACTGTCTTCCCCAAGCTAAAGCCAACGCCTCAGCTCTATCACAATTTCCAACTGACTGGGACAAATTCAGTACAATCCTATCGGAAAAAACTTGCCTTAAACTCCGCGTAAAGACTCCCTCTGATATCGACGACGCAGTAAACCTACTCACAACTAATATTCAAACCTCTGTTTGGGACTCAGCCAAACCTGTGCCCTTGCACGTTAAGCCTTCCCCTCATCTTCCCTCCTACATACGAACTCTCATCTCACAAAAACGTCGCGCTCGTGTTATTTGGCAAAGAACTCGATATCCTATCGACAAATCCCTTTACAATGCACTCACCCAAAAGTTGAAACGTCTGCTAGCTAACCTTAAATCGGAGTCTTACGCAAACTATATTTCTTCTCTCACTGGCATGGATGGCTCCCTATGGAAAGCCACTAGGAAACTACTACGAATTCACAATTCTCCCCCTACTCTACGTAATGCTGATGGTAGCTGGGCACTGTCTGAACAATCTCAAGCCAACATATTTGCCAACCACCTATCTAACACATTTCAACCACATCACAATATTATCTCTCCAACCAAAATCCAGGAAGTTGAAAGCTATCTTAACTCTCCTCTTCCAATGTATCCGCCTCCTAGAGCTTTTACCCCTGGTGAAGTTGAATTTAATCTTAAGAAAAACTCACCGAAAAAATCTCCTGGTTTTGACTTAATTTCGACGGAAGTGGTCAAACACCTTCCCAGAAAAACCATAATTTTCCTAACACAAATTTACAATGCTATGCTTCGTTTATCATACTTTCCTATATTATGGAAATATTCTATCATAATACTAATACCAAAACCAAAAAAACCCCCTGACTGTCCTTCCTCATATAGGCCTATAAGTCTCCTACCAACTCTCTCCAAACAATTTGAAAAACTTTTTCTCAAACGAATACTGCCAATAGTTGATGAAGCTAAAATACTACCTGACTCTCAATTTGGTTTTCGCAACAGTCACTCAACGATCCATCAGATTCATCGCCTGGTTGACAAAATTTCATTTGCCCTAGAGGAAAAATTATACTGCACTGGTGCTTTCCTTGACGTCTCCCAAGCTTTCGATAGAGTCTGGCACTCAGGCCTCCTATATAAATTAAAACCTATCCTTCCTAGTCACTACTATCTGATCCTCAAATCCTACCTCGAAGATCGGTTCTTCTCCGTACGTGTAGGTTCTTCCTTCTCCTCTCCTACTGAAATAAAAGCAGGCGTTCCACAAGGCGCAGTAATTGCTCCCCTACTCTTCAATCTCTACATCTCCGACCAGCCTACTTCACCCCATACCTTAGTCGGTGATTTTGCTGACGACAAAGCCATACTAACAACCAGCCCTGATCCTGTTTTAGCCTCCTCCTACATACAAGATCATCTCTTCTCCCTTGAATCGTGGTACAAAACATGGGGAGTAAAAATGAACGAAACCAAGTCCATCCACGGTACCTTTGCACTTCGTCAAGGAGTATGTCCAACACTTTATCTCAACAACCAACCACTTCCCCCTGCGCAATGCGTACGTTACCTCGGTATCCTTATCGACCGCCGTCTCACTTGGAAACCTCACATAATTAACAAAACTCGTACACTAAATGACCGCTTCCGGCTCCTTCGTCCACTTCTAACATCAAAGCACATGAAACCTTCCAACAAACTCCTGCTCTACAAACTCCTACTCAGACCCATCTGGACTTATGGGATTCAACTATGGGGCGCTGCCAAAATCTCCAACATCAACCGCATTCAAAGATTCCAATCCAAAACTCTACGCACAATTCTAAAAGCACCATTCTATGTCTCTAACCACACCCTCCACACTGATCTCAAAATACCATTTGTCTCTGAACTAGCCAAAACTCATTATAAACGTTTCAATAACCGCCTAGCTCACCATAAGAATCCGTTAATCTCCGACCTATCATCTGCTTCTATCCCAGGTAAGTAGGTAACCCAGTTAAAAGACTTAAAAGACAGTGGTGTCGCGACCTGCTAGCCTAATTTAGTCCTACTCATGTCGTAGTACCTCCGCTGGGAGGCCTCTACATTCGGGATAATCTGTCATTTATTTTTATTTTATTTTATTTTTACTTTCATCAATTGTTCTTATTGTTCATGTATTGAAACAGATTGAATAAATATTTTAATTACAAAAAAAAAAAAAAAAAAAAATGCTTATAAAAAAAAACTGTGCCTATGTATTTTTAATATTTTTCAACTGATATTGTAACAATATATCAGGAGCCTTGTATTAAATTTTTACACTTTTTGGCCCAACAGATAAAACTTTATTGATATTCATAGAAAAAAAAAAAAAAAAATTTAAAAATGAAAATATCCGTAAACAGCTCAAAAAGAGTCAATAATTTTCAAAATTTTACAGTGTATAGAAAATGCTAATATGAACATTAGGTGAAATTTTCAGGTATCTACAGTTATTCGTTTTTGAATTACAACAAAATAAGGAAATCGCTACATGAGAAATCGAGTGAATATCCAATGTTGTAAAAATTTGAATTTCAAACCCTCATAAAAATTTAATTTGACTTTCCGGTAGAGATTTTTTTTATTGATAAAGGTAGACAAACTTATAAGTAATCTTGTATAACATTTTAAAATCTTAGATTTAAAAAGAAAAATTTTTACGAATTCTTAACTCAAAATAATTTGCTAATTTTCGTGATTTTTCCATATTTTGTCAATTTTTGAACTTTAAGTGCTTATAAGAAAAAACTGTGACTAAGGATTTTTAATATTTTTCATCTGCCTTTGAAACAATATACTTGGAGCCTTCTATTAAATTTTCAAGCTTTTTTAATTAACAAATAAAATTTTATTGATATTTCTAGAAAAAAAACTAAAAAAAAAATGAAAAATGAAAATGTCCCTAAAAAATTCAAAATAAATCTAAATATTTTGAAAATGTTATCGTGTATAGAAAATTCAAATATAAACAATCAGTGAAAATTTCATGTATTCATGAATTATTGAATTATTTTATTTGTATGTATTTCATGTACCGCGGTCATTTGTTTTAAAGTTACACCAAAAACCAAATTCAATTTTGTGATCAAATCGATTTTGCGTAAAAATTTCTGTTTTTCCTAAATTTTTCTTTTGTTTTTCTTGGCGGTTTTGAAAATTACTGGGAATTTTAAATTTTGACCTACCCAATGCACCAACGATATTCACTTTCCAATCGAACAAGATATTGAAGTTGAAAATCAAAGCATTATTTCGACTACTTATCGTGTACAGACACAAAAAAAAATTAAAATTAAAAAAAAAAAACACATCATTGTAAAATCAATACATTCATCGTTCCACTTAGAATCTAAAATAGATCATATTCATAATTTAAATTTAAATACATTGATATATAATATGAAAAATGTACTACAGACAAAGCATAGTAAATTTAGAGGGGAATTGAAATCTGTTTTCAAAATTTAAATCGGAACATCCTACAGAGCGCGCAGTGATTGAAGTCACTGGCAGTAGTTTTTAAAAAAAAATCGTTCCAATTTTATAAAGTATTATGTGGTGACATGTGCATGCGCATAGGTTAAATGACAGACGTACTATGATGCCCCTATACAACGTGATCGGTACTACGAATACCCACACTAATGTTCATTTACTTTCAACACATTCACAAGACCCACATGAACTGAAATATAAAATGCCTAGTTTTTACTCCTTACAATGGATTACGCTCTAGCCCCCTTAAAATATATATATTTCTTATAATGTCTAGTAATAGGTACATTGCTTTATTTTATTGAGTGCCCTAGAAGTGTTGTAATGCAACATAACATACAGGATTATTATCATTTCGCGTGATATTACCACAGAATAGATGAAATTTCATGATTTCATCTATTCTGTGATATTATACTATGATATATAATATGTGAATAAATTACTGAACTTCGTTATAACTGCTTGGGTTTTCGAGGAAGGCACTTGAAATTTTCATATTTTTTGGTAAGTATTGCGGGTTAAAGAGCAAATCAGCAGTTTTCCTGAACGGCGGCCCGTGATATTACTGATTTGAATATATGAATAAATTACTTTACTGCATTATAACAGCTTGGGTTTTTGAGTTAAGAACTTGAAATTTTCAAGGTATTTAAACGGTACAGCCGTACAATTCATATCTTGTAAAAAATGTCATAACTTTTGGTTAAGTTTTTATGTTTGTGATAGTTCTGCGACAGGTGAAATTTCACGGAGCAATCTGGAATTTGGTAGGGAATTGTATAAGGTTTTATAATGGCCGTTGTGGAGTTTCACCCCATTCGGACTTTATTTAACCATGCTACGGCCACTATGCCCCCAAATCAGTAAATCAGTAGATCAGTTAATTAGGCAGTACCACCACAGAATAGATTAAATCATATTTAATCTATTTTTATTTTTATTTATTTTTTTATTTTTATTTTTTTTAAATCAATTTAAATTATAAATTAATTTATTCTATTCTGTGGTACCACTTTACACGACCTACCAAAAATACATCAGTGAACCGGTTTGAGAACCTCTAAGGGCCGTTCTTACAATGTCCGGTAAAGTGTCGGTTAACGCTAACCGACTGATAACAGATTTTATTACCGGCAGAATTCTTCCGGTTAAGTGTCGGTTAACTTTAACCGGACGTTGTAAGAACGGCCCTAAGTTATATAAGTACAATAATGTCAAAAATAAATAAATTAGATTAAACTCAATTTAAAGAGAACTATATTAATTTATTAATATACAAATATCCAACAGAAAATACACTAAATTCTCATTATGCTTCATACCATTTTTTCAATGTTTCCGGAGCCGAAATTTTATTTTTATATTTGTTAACTAGTTTTGAAAATGATGCATCATTTTTAGTATTCTTCTTTTGGCTCTTCACCTTAAATATGAAAAATAAAAAATTATTATAATATAACTCATTTTAGTTGAATTAAACTATATATTTAGCTTACTTTTGGTTCTCTCTTCTTCTCGTTTCTGATGGCTAAATCGCGTTTCTTTTTCGTGGTAACTTTCTTCTTGGTTTTGACATTCTTCTGGTGAGCTTCTGATTGAACCTTAAGTTTGAACTTTGATCGAATTGCCATGTGCCCCTGATTACATTTGTAACACATATAAGTAATATAATGAAAATTATTAAATATTATATTTAATTATTATGATTAAATATTATATTATGTTGAAATTATTACCAATAATATGTTTTTTTTTTATATTACCTCCTTTGCTGTTATACCAGCATATTTGGGGAGTTCTGCTATTTTCTTTCTCGATAACGCTGTACTTCTATTGTTTTTGTTATTATTTTCTCCATTAAATTTTTTATTTTTGTTATTATTTTCTGCATTGAATTTTGTATTTTTGTTATTATTATCTGTACTAAATTTTTTATTTTTATTCTCAACAGTTGATGAAGTACTTGGTTGCTGTTTGTTAAATAATGGATTGCTAGTTTTACTTTTGTCTATTCTTCGTTGTCTAGCTTGTAAAACGAGCCTATTTTCAATAGAAAATGCTACTATTGGTCTCTATAGTAAAATAGCAATTATTAATCTCCACAAAGAAGTATAAAATAATACCTGAAAATCTTACTTTATTCGAATTGAATATCTTTGGGTTGTTATTGATGGATCTGAGCGCCTTCAAAGCATCTTCATGTTCCTTGAATGTTACAAAAGCATATTCTTTTGAAATTGCTACTCCATTGGGATCAACTTCTTTTAAATTTCTCATAACAACAACCTGAAATTGAATAATATGAAAATATTATTTTTAGATTTAACAGTAATACATTGAAAAAGTTTTTTCTGAAATACTAATTATTATTATTTACTACTTTTTATTAAGTATTCAGGTAACAGTATGCGACTAATATGCGACCTACAAATGTTACTCGACCTACCGATATGATTGTGTTGATCTACAGGTTTCTTTATCGCGGTAATTTTCGTTATGGGAATTTTATTCTATTTTATTTGTATTAAAACTTGTATTTACTGTCCTTATTCAGTACAGGTCCGATTTCATTCGAGAGCGCTGGTTTTGTGAATTTTTAGTTTTAATTTTTCAACATGACATCTATTATTGGTCACCTATATAGGCACATTAATAGGGATGAAGTGATATGTGTTCAATTATTAAAAGACCGAGGATTATTACTGGCCGATAATCCGATGACATGCATTAAGGTGAAAGAGGGTGTTGTATGTAATGGCCAACTTGTCGAATATTTAAGAAATAGTAAAAAACAAAATTCTGATGGCACTATCAAAAAAGTTGTAACATGACGATGTACAAAACTAGGTTGCCAGAATTACCAATCAATTCGTAAAAATAATGACTTATTTACCTACACGGATCATAACGGCCGTTGTAATAGTCAGCTATCATTATATGAAATAATGCGAATAGTTGGGTTCTGGGTTCATTTAGTTTCAGTATACTATAAGCTGTAAATTGGACTCTCAGAAGCAAAATACCATCATTAATTGATTTGCAGAGATATACCAGTATATTGTTTTTCAAAGAAAGAGAAAATGGGTGGTCGTGGTTGTATTGCCCAAATTGACAAATCCCTTTTTCAAGTTTTAAGGAAGTATAACTTGGTCTATTACAACGTGGGGACCATCAGCCATTAAGAGAAGTAAATAATTTCAACAACAAAGATTTTGACCAAACTTTCAAAAATGAAATAGTACATACAAATAAAATAAAAATTACGATAATCGTGTAGTAGGCCCATGGGTATTTGGAATTTGTTGGAAACGGCCAGACTTATTATTAGAACAGCAATTTTTTTATCGTAGAAAAACGGGACCAAGAAACTCTTTTAGAAAAGATTATATATCTATTAAAAATGAAATAAAAACTGGAATGAAAATTTATAGAGACCAATGGGGAGCGTACTGAACATTAAATCATCATGGATATATTCATCAATATATTAACCACTCTGAATTTTTTATTGACCCGGAAACAGGAGAACACACTCAACAAATCGAAGGCTTATGGAAAATTATAAAATCCAAATATAATATTTAAAAAAATGGGGCGTCTTTTTTATTAGATAGACAACTCCAAAAAGAGTGGTGGAGATCTTGTCAAAATCCAAAAATCATTTTTGATGACTTATTGACCAATATAAAAAAGACATTTCACAATAAGGACTGAAACAATACACTTGACGACAATCAGAAGTGGAATAAAAAATTGTTTGCATTTTGGACCATAAATCGGTGTGTAGGTCACATATTTGACCGTAAATCAGTGTGTAGATCGCATATCGTTACCAGTATTCATTCAAAAACTAGACAACATTTAAATAAAACAGTAAAAACCTCATGTCAATATGAAATAAACATTTAAAGAGGTTGGGTTCGGACAAGGAATTAGTGACAAACTAGGTTTTTATGGGCGGTTACATTTTTGTACAATTATAGCTCAATTAAATTGGCAGTCAATAGGCTATAATTGTAAATTGTTGTAATTTTTAGGGAACATATACCACCGTACTAAAGCATATCACAAAAGCTACACTTTAACAGGCAATAGCTGATTGATTCAGATAGGTCCATTAAGAGATTAATTGCTTAATGTTTATTATTTTTATGTTAGGTATACCTATTTATTCATGATTTGAGGGCTGAGCCCTAGGAACAAAAGTGGTATATACAAATTAGATTAAATTGTTCAGAAGTTTTATCCGATGACTAGGACAGGCTCCCGCACCATCTTATATAATATAATTGTATTGTTGTTGTAATAGTAGTGAGTAGGAGACTGGCCTACCACTACTAAAAATAGGATGTATTTGATTTGTTTCAATAAACTATGGGGGCCGGAGGAGAAGTATTGGCAAACTTGGTTCCTTCTGTAGTCCTTGATATCACAAAGAAAAAAAAAAGGATAGACGTATAAACCTATAAACTAATGGATAGCATATTCCACTCGGACCTGCCCTCAATGCTAGGCGATCATATAACTATATAACTGAGAGAAAGAACATAAAGTAGTGAAGGAGCCCGCATAAAGAACTGTAGAGATTTTACTACTTTGTTTCTTTTTTTGCTCAATCTAATCATACCCCTGATTTCTCTCTCTAAGCGCTGTCCAATAGTTTATAGGTCTATGGTCTATGGTACCGTTGGCATGAGATAAGCAGGATCAAATCCCCTAATTTAAGCTCTAAATTAAAATTGGTGAGAGCCATAACTTGAAAATATAAAACTCGCCTAAAGTTTCACGTTGGTCCTTAGTAAGGAAATTATTTTTAATTAGTTTAAAGTTATGGTGTACAAATAGATATAAATGCTATCTTTACTCACTTTCAATACAGCATTGGGACGAGTATGTTTTGTAAATAGATCTTTTAAGGTTTTATTATCCATGTTTGCTGGCAAGTTGTGAATAATAAGTCGATTACGAGCCACAAACATGTTTAAATTTTTTAGAACTTGAGATTTCCATTGTTCCAACTCAAGTCTCTTTTTCATATCATGAACAGATACACCATTTGCAGCTGCTGTACCGACAATTATGACTAGAACAAGATTCCAAGTATTAAATTTAATTATTAGACAGTAGAACAACAGAACAATGTGTTTACATCTGATATACTAATGTCGGGTTGCAAGAAAAATATATTAATTTAATGGTTCAATAAAATTGTATGGACTAATCATGGGCCACACGAGGACACTTGCAGAGAATTAGTTTACTAGGAGCAATACTTTTGGTGTCAGCAAAAGAAGGCAGCTTAGCCCCACCCCCAAACACACACTACATTTATATAAAATCTTAACACATAAATGATCAGGGCTGGATTTAACGGAAGCCATAATGGACAAATGGCCCTGCTTTTTTAAGGACCCACACAAAATTACCTTTTTTGGGTTTATTTTAAAGGATAGATTAAAAAAATTATTATAAATATAAAAAGGTGTAACCAAGGCTTATAAAAAAATATATCCATACCTCCTTCTTTGATTAAATACAAATTCCTGTTATCCTTATGGGTAACTTTGTCATCTTTATTTCTATCTAGAACTTCTTTATCGATTGCCATTTGCGGTTCCATTGTAGATCCATTAAGAGTAAGCTCTTCAGGAGAACTAGACATACAAGCTTCTACGCTGCTAGAATCCTAATAATAAATTCAAATAAATATTAATACTATTTTTATTACAAGTTAAATGTATTCATTGAAACCATTTTGAAATAACAAATAATTTTTTACAAACCTTGCATAATTTACTTGTTTCACATATATATTAAGACCAAATTGTTCTTATAAAAAGTTATAATTAATGCTAATATTTACCCTGAATTTTACAAATGCTGTTCCTTTAGAATGTTCCGTTAAGCGATCCACACAAACAAGTGCATAATAAATTGGTCCAAATCGTTCTTTAACAAATCGCTTCAGTTCATCGTTGTTAACACTAAATGAAACATTCTTAAAAAAAACTGTTAAACCTTCTTTAACATCATGAGATTTAAAACGTTTTTTGTCTGATGTAGAAATTACAGACTCGTTGTCTTCAGTATTTTCTCTTTTTCTTTTAACATCATTTCTAAAATTATTAGTGTTTTTTTATTTATGAGTTACTTGATAATTTAATATAAATGTATAACTCACTCAATATCTGAAGTCTCAAAATCTACCAAATTGTCTTCCTCATCTTTTATTGTGTCAAGAGTAAGATAATCTTCAACGGTTTTGGAACGTTCTTCTATATTATCTTGATCATTAGATAAATCTCTTTTAATTTCTTCTTGGTCTTCAACTATAGCCTCTTCAACATTTTCTTCTTTAACAGAGATATTTTCTTCTTTTTCTTTGGTAGTATGAATAGTTTCATACTTATTTTTTGGAATAGCCCAATCAACAACAATAGATCGACCTTTGAATATTTAATAAAATTAAGGTAATTAATAATACTTAGGTACAACATATTATATTATTACTAATTAACAAAAAGAAAAATAGTGACCATACTGATTTAAACATGCTGGTTAAACATGAGATTAGAAATGAAATAAAGTATAATCAATGAATTAAACAAGGAGAAAACTTTTTATAATCTGTGGAAATATTTGAAGTAATGTTAACTTCTCATTTTAATGGTTATACAAATACCTTTCAGGTATACATATTAAATATATTAGGACAGATTATTAACTTACCACAAAAGTCTTTGCCACTGGTGTGGGCAATTGCTTTAGCAGCATTTTGTTTAACAATGAATTGTACAAAACCACAACCAATAAGTTTCCATCGGTTTTCGTAGAAGCTTAATATCATTTATTCACCAAATTTAGAAAAAGTTCTTTAATTGTGCTCTTCATCTGTCTATAACAAACAGTATAAACAGTTATATATTATCTCAGTCATTATGCATCAATAATTTCATACATAAATATAACGTTATAATTTCACAGGCAGAAATAATTTGATTGATTTTGAACACTCACTGTAAACGGAAGATTTCGAATAATGAGTCGCCCACGGCGATTGTTTGGACATTTCGGAGCTTTGTTTTGGCAAAAATATTTTATTTTTTCATGATTGCTATGACTTGCGTCTGACGAAATATTGGTTCGTTCAGTGCAGTTTCCAGTTTCCGCTCGTCCCTCGGCAGTCAGTGGCACATCGCAGTATCGCTCGACTCACATAGTCACATGTCTGACTTTTGTATCTTTTTTATGATAACGCTTATCTTCACATAACCAATATCACGGACAGATTAATCTATCCGTGACCAACATCAACCATATACCAGTTCAGCAAAATGGCATATTGTTCTGAGCCATGAACATTAGACTACTTCCTCTAATGTTCATGTTCTGAGCATGACAAAATAGATGGGTATGTCAGCAACGATACGAGTTTTGGTCTTGTTAGCGCATCACACCCTTCCCAGCCATAGTCGTGGTTCGCCTCATTTCATTGGCCGTTAAATTACCCGCCAAAAATACAATTTTGTAATATTATAATCAAGACGAGATTAAAAATTAATAATTATGATTTATGAATAATAGATTAATACGAGCTTTCTACTATGAAAAATTACGTTTTATCATTTTCTTGTATGATATATGTAATTTGTTTTTATGTTATTCATCGATATCAATGTATTGTTTTTCAATAAATATCCCAATTTGATAGCCCATTCAGATAAAGACAAACCAATCTGTTGGACAGATTATATTTCCAGAGGTCAATTGAAAATTCCATCTGACAATTTAATGCGAGCTGTGAAACAATTAGAAATACATTTCAGAAGTCTCCACGGTGACAACCTGTCAAAAGCTCCTAATATATTTAAAACATTAACAGATAAATTACAAATAAGTACTCAAGATTTAAAGTTACCTTTAGATGTTTTGCAATGTCTTGTACGAACAAGAACTTATATAAGACTCAATAATTTAAACAATCAAATTATGAGTCAAAAATTTAAAAAATTGGAAACATTTAAAAAACAAAAATTTACTAAATAAGATGTAAGTAGGTAATGTAAGTATTGAAATATATTATAATGTAATATTTAGGTACCTATGTTAATTGTTAATAAGTAAGTATAATAATTAATATAATATATAAAATAGTTTTCCAATTTTGAATTTTTATTATTAATGATTTCCATAATTTAGTATTTACCAGTACACGACTATAGTACACGGTCAGTGTCCGTCGGACACACGGTGATTTAATATTTATTGATAAAACGTGATAACATTAAACGACCAAGAATATTATATTCACCAATGAGAAGAGGCGAACCAGCTAATAGACGGGGGGTGGAGTGGTCGGCGAACACAATGCGTATCAAAAAGTTGCTGACATACCTATCTATTTTGTCATGGTTCTGAGCATAGACATATTAATATGTTATTATTAATATGTCTATGGTTCTGAGGTACACCACAAATTCGTTAGACTAAATCGGTGACAAATTAATCGTGATTCGTGAACGGTTACCACGGACTAAGATAAAATGTACTACAGACAAAGCATAGTAAATTTAGAGGAGGATTGAATTCTGTTTTCAAAATTTAAATCGGAACATCCTACTGAGCGCAGTGATTGAAGTCATTGGCAGTATTTTTTGAAAAAATATTTTTCCAATTTTACAAAGTATTATATGGTGACATGTGCATGCGCGTAAGTAAAATTACCAATGTCGGCCTGGCACACCAAAGGCCCATGGATCAGTTTTTTAAGGGGGCCCCCAAAAAATGTATACCTATGCGATTTTTAGCAATATGGATTATAATATAAAATGTACCTTTATTATAATCATTAATATACTATTATATAATTTAGTAAATATAAGTTTCATGATCAATAATTATAAATTAATTGTGCACATTTACCACAATAAATAAATAAATAACCAAATATACAACAGTATAACACCAAAGATATCACGAACTATACCTAATTAGTTTGCTGTGGCAGCAACAACAATCGACATAACGCGACTATACAACAGCATTGCAGACTGCACTACTGCAGTCGTAAGTCGTAACTCGTATTGACAAAATATCTGAAATCATGGCTGAATATTATGCAGTCGAAAATATTTTTCTAAATAACTATTGCTTATGGGCTGCCGCAAGACATTATTTATAATTTATAAATAATGACATTAAATTACACATATGTATATCTAATATTAACGCGAACCCTTGCGTAGCCAATAATATAATTAATATAATTACGTAGCTAATGATTCGTTTAATAATAAACTATGAAACTATTGAAACATGTGAAAACTACAAAACAATAAATAATAGTTATCAATAATATTACAGTTTACATAGAAACAAAATTACGAAAACTAAAATTATATTTGTACTATAGAATTTAAACTTTGAAGACAAATATACATAAGCATAATATTATTTAAGTAAACTTCCAAAAGTAAATGTCTCATCTTCATCATTGTTATATATATTATTATTTATTTATATGTATAAATAGATATAGACATCAGTGGCGTATATACGAATTATTTTCACTATGGGCCAATTTATCAGCTAGGGAGATGGGTGGTTATATTATAATTATGACATGTACAGTACAAATAAAAATTGAGCAAGTCAATTATATAATTATTATGTAAAATTAATTTGTTGATTCTTTTTTTATAGATATTGACAGTGCCATTTATACATTTTAATGTTATCTAACATGTTATTCTAACTTTTCCTTGTTGATTCCTCAAAAACGATTTTAATCAACCGGCTAACTTAATCATGGTGAAAAACTGTAAACAGTATACACGCAATGCTTTAATTATTGAATATTGAACCTGCAATTTCACTATGGGCTCTGGCCCAGGGGGCTTCCCCCCTATATACGCCACTGATAGACATATAAACGAATAGTATTGTACATCATAGTATCATACATATTTTTATATGCAAATTTGCGTGATCGCTGAATTCAACAACAGGTCCCCTGCAGTTTCGCGTAAGCGGGGCCCTCGTGCAGTCGTCCGAGCCATTGTTTTTGAAGCGATGGATAAAACCCAACTTAACTTAAAGTAGCGCAATTATTCCAAAAAACCTCCTTTTACATGTTACAATGTTACTATTATAATTATAATTATTTTACACTTGCACCATAGTAATTAGTATGCACTATGCACTACTCTCACACTATAGATAATAGGTCTGATTATTGATCCAATTATTAAGACCTTGTAATTTTTCTTTACCCTGGACCCCAAAAGTATGGGCCCCCCCCCCAAAAAAACGGAGGGGCCCCGGCTGAGTTCGCGGCCTAGCGGCCATGGCCAGGCCGACACTGTAATAAATGACAGACGTATTATGATAGTATGATGGCATGATGCCCCTATGGCCTATACAACGTGATCGGTACTACGAATTACACACACTAATGTTCATTTACTTTCAACACTTTCACAATAAGACCCATCTGAAATATAAAATGCCTAGTTTTTACTCCTTAGAATGGATTACGCATTTACGCTCCAACCCCCGTAACAAACAGATATATTATATTATCTTATTATATAATATATCTGTGGCGTTAACCGGTAACGGCAGGGCCGGCGCTAGAAATATTGGCGCCCTGGGCGAAACCATATTTTGGCGCCCTTCCCCCCCAAGTTGATAATAATAATTAATGGGATCACAACATACGTATTTTTTGTACGTTAAAGACCAATAGGCAATAAGTGATGGTAAATTACACATACTTCCGAATGTCCAATTTTAATTTTTAATATATATATGAATTCTTTGGCAAAATAACTAGGCTTTCTATGAAGTCGATTTCCAATTTTAAAGGACCATACAATTTGAATATTTTTTTTAAAAATCTCATGAAATCATTGCATTACATTCGTCTTTATTTTGGGCTTTCTGGGTTTTATATCAAAAAAGTTGGACCCTTTCAAGTTGATTCATATTGCTTGTGGTGTGAGCCCGTGAGGGTTCTATATAATTACAGAAAATTCAATAATAGATCTGATGAGCGCACAATATAAAGCTTTTAGTGGAGTTATCAACTTAAATTAGTCACAAACCCGATTAAGAGGACGTCGCATCCGCACGTGTTGTCTCCGTCTTACACATGTACGACATACCAAATGTTCGTTGGCTTTGGCTAGTTTCAATAGGGTATTGTCAGTTTTTTTATTAGAGTGAATTTGCCTATAATAAAACTTTTAGATAAGAACAGTATCTGTGTTCTCTAGTTGGTTTTTTACGATATTTTAATTTATAAGTGAGTTATGGGTATGTAAAGAATTCATATTCTAAAATGTTCATAACTCACTTAAAAATTAAAATATCGTAAAAAACCAACTAGAGAACACAGATAATGTTGTTACCTAAAAGTTTGATAGTAGGTCGATTCACTCTAATATCAAAACTGACAATACCCTAATGAAACTAACAAACAAAAATGTTCCATGTCGTACGTGTGTAAGACGGAGACAACACATCCGGATGAGACGTCCTCTTAAGAAATCCAAGAGCTCTTAAAGCTTTACAGCATGTCGCATATATGATATATGTGGTTATGAACATTTAAGTTACTATCATAGAATTATAGAAAACTCCAAGATCTTTCACCGTATTCCCTTCAATAGCAAGATAGGTACCACAAACTAAGTATTTAAATTCCAAGTGAGTGCGACCTCTATACAAAGATTCTGAGCAACATTTGGAGACATTATAGTCCAAACTAATATTTATAGCCCAGGCATCTAATGCGTACAAGTCACTTTGAAGTAATTGACAGTCGTGTACTGAGCGTTATATGAATTTATTTATAAATGGGTAAATATTATAGAGGTATCGATGCACTGTTATATTCTTACGAATTACGATAGTTCATTATACAAATATAAGACAATTATTATTATTATTAATCTTCAATTAAAACGACATTAGATAATGAATATTTTAAATTGTATAGATTGTTAATGCGTATTAAAAGATAAATTAAATAAAAATTATTTTCAGTTTGGCGCCCCTTCCGCGCTGGCCCCCTGGGCAGTCGCCCATAGCTTTCGCCGGCCCTGGGTAACGGTGACCGTGATAAGTGATTACTGATAAGCCGAAATCTACGAATTTACCTTTAACCTTTAACCGTGTAAAGTAAACAATAAACATATCTCAGACAATATTGTTATTGTTTCTACTTTCTACTTTCTAGTATTTCTGAGTAGTCAACTACACATTCAATATTCATATTCTGTAATCCGTTCTACCACACATCGCACATTCGACTAATAGTCATTATAATTATTTTATTTTTGTTTTAAAATATAAATTCTAATCGCCATTCGCCAAATGCCTATCGGTTCACTGTCGGTGTGACTGGCTGGCGGCTGCGGGTCTTGGTGTGGTGCGGTTGCAGCTCTCAATTCTCTGGTTCCGAATTCCAGACATCGTCATTACTCATTCGTCTGCGAAATATCACAAATCACAATAATATTATCATATTATCATGTCGTGCGCTTCACGTTTCGACACGATGGCTCTAAACGCGGCTGACTAGCGGCTCGCCACTGTATATAAATTATTTTGTTTTCGTCCATCGGCGACAAGCGAATTATTATCAGCGCCCAGCGGCAAAGAGTGATGACGACCGTCCCGAAAATCAAATAACAAAATATAAATTAACATATTTTAGGAAAATAATCCATCGTTGTGTGTAGACTTAAAACGGTCGAGTGTCGGCGTGTGCCGTGTGTTTGGGTGCTCGCTAGGTATAGTACGATGTTTAACAATATTAATCACGTAGTGTCGTAGTAGTCACTAGTTTGACGATGTTGATGAAAAAAACAATAAACAGTATTTAGACGTGTAAAAAAAATAGGTCGCTCGGGGCCGGATTAACCATTAAGCACAGTGCCTACGGGCTACGACCTTAGACGTAATATTGCTATCCCGACATGAAATAAAACAATATTACAGTTGGTACAATAAACAAATAATATTATATTGTAGACATTTGTTTAATTTTAACAATTTTTAAAATTTGACTGCTTTGCTAAGGTGCCCTGAAATGCTTAGGGCTTAGCCTACAAATGGTTTAATCCGGCACTGTAGATGCCAATATTGTAGTATGTTTTGTATTTGATGACGATAGATCGGACCGAAAGCGTTTGTCACAAGTACACAGACCGGGTCTTTCACTATTGTTTGAATCAAAAGTCTAGAATATTATTTAGGTACATTCGTGTGTAGCGATTGTGTTAATATGTCGTCGTTGTTGTAGCTTAACTTGGAATCATGGTGGAAGACAAAATCCTATACACTTTTCGGGGGTGGTTGGCATTTGTGGCTTTCATGGACCTCGGCGTAACGTTTCGATCGTTTTTCGAAAACAAATGTATCATTGGAACGCAGACCAATTTACAGGCAGATGAACACTTTATACACGGTACCTACAATAGTTTTTACATCTGATAAACGGTTAACTAAATCTGTAACTAGCAATGTTATTTGAAATTTGGGTATTTTTAAAACGCACATAATTATTATTAAGTTTTTATTGAGCAAATTAAATAAAAGGTTTGGTACCTACTCTAGTATTTACTATGATGTTATTTCTGTGAATAATGGTTGGTAATTTAACGATGGTTTAGAGCTTAAACGTTAAAATATAAATTGTAATAGGCACTGAATAGTGATTTAGAGATATTTTAAGCTATAACCAAATGTTCTAAGCATTATTTCTACTCTAAAATTGTAATAATTAAGTTTAACTAGTACCGATGATAAATTATAAAGTCAGAAATCATCTAATAATTGTTATTATTTACAAAAACTAAATAAGAACATGTGAAATTAACTGATTAAATAAGAAAAATATTTCAGTTTCATTTTAATAAATGCTAAAATAGGTAAATAGCACAAATTAAAAATATTGAATATACATGGAAAAGAATTGAACAGTTGGGATTTATTATTCTATCAAAACCAACAACTCGGAATAATTTTGGTTAATATGGTTTTGTATTATACTGAGTGATTCTTTTATCAAACAACACTCATTATTTCAAAAAGTGTAAATTTTTTTGAAAATATTTTTTTACATAGTTTCAAGTCGCTTATAAAACAACGTTTTTATAAAAAAATTATATTTTTTATCCTTATGTTTTTTACTTTTTTAAATGACAACATATGGTTTTAATTTTATATTCTAAAGTAGAATATTTTTCTTAATATTTTGATACATTAAAATCGAATTTGAGGCGAGTAGTTTACGAGTTATAAGTATTTAAAGTTTAGTGGAGTGGTTCGGGGTTACCCCGCGAAATGTTTGTCCACTTCACCGCTCATCAAACTTTGAATATTTATAACTCATAAACTACTCAACCCAAATTCGATTTTCATGTATCAAAATACTAAGAAAAATATTCTGCTTTGGAATATAAAATTAAAACCCTATGTTGTTATTCAAAAAAGTAAAAAACTTAAAAAATTATAAGGATAAAAAATATTTAAAAATATAATTTTTTAATAAAAACGTTGTTTTATAAGCGACTTGAAACTATGTAAAAAAATATTTTCAAAAATTTTTACACTTTTTGAAATAATGAGTGTTGTTTGATAAAAGAATCACCCAGTATTATCTATTATTAGCACAAGGATGTCATTACAAATGCTCAAATAGGTAAATACTTATCCCAGAAATTATGTACATTTGTATTATAGTATATTGATAGTATTTGATAGTATAGCTTTAAAATCAAAATTTATTACAGGAGAAATATTAATCTAATTTTTCAATTAAATTATTCACAGAGGAATTAACTTTACCAAGAGTGCTCGGTATGTTTTCGCTTCTTAAAGCTCTATGTTTGATACATTGCTCATTATTTATTCACTATAAGCCGTAAGTACTAAAAAAGTGGCTATTTTGTATTCACCATTGAGTACATAATTTTTTTTTTTTTTAAGATTTTTAGAATTTAATATTTTGTATACTTAATTTGTAGAATGGTCAGTATTGGTGCTATGTCTATGGTTTTATCCATTGTTTTGTATCTCAGTGAAGCAATTCATTACCGTTCAACTACTTTAAATTTCTTTATTGTTTTTCCAAGTATTTTAAATGGTAAATTAATACTTTTATTATAAAATATTGAATAATGAATCATTTAAATATATTTTTTTACATTTTTAAAGGTTTAACACTGATTGGTTTATACTTAATTGTACGCAAGATTAATAAGCCACCATCTGAATGTGTCGAAGAAAATGTTGAAATGTTAATGAGTAAACTCAAATATCAAAAAAATAAGAAATATATTTGTAAAAAAAAATAAGTATGACTATGATAATATAGAATACAAGAAGAACTTCAAGATATGTTTTTTCAATTTTATAAATTTGTAAAATATTGAGCTTTCCTAGTTTTTTTTAGTTTTTTAAATTGTACTTAATTAATTATATTTATATTTAATTGAATGCATTTCTGTTTGTAAGTAGTAATAATTTAATACATATTTATAAGTTTTCACAAAGTTGGTAGTTTTTAACAGTTAGTTTTTGTTAAAAATAATTTGAAAAACAACCTACTTATTTTAGGCTCTTTAAAAACAAAAATAATTGATTAGGCAATATTCAATTCCAAATAAAAAAATTTAATTTATATATATTTTTTGTAATTATATTGTTTATTTTCTTATGCCGATTGTTTCTGAGTACTGCCTGCTTTGTTTTGAGCAATAACAAATTCTGGATAATCTATAAAACCATCAAAATCTGTATCATCCATAGTTAATATAGGATCAATTAACTGCATTAATTCTTCATCAGTAAATATCTTTTCCTGGGGAGGTGCTCCACCCGCTGCGGGATCATGACCACCTTGAACTAAAATTAAAACATTTCAATATTTCACTAATTGAAAGAACACTAAGTACATTAAATATTTTCTAACAGTTTCCGTTGTAAAAAGTTTTACTTATTTTTTTAACACTTTTTATTTGAGAAACCATTATTAACTTTTAAATGGTAACCTACATTTTGAATTCATAATCTTTGATTCAGATAACTTTCCTAAAAATATTTAAGTATAAATAATGAATAGTTTTTCTATCACTATTACTATCATTTACATTTTAGGTGAAGTTTAGTTAAGTTTGGATAAAAGGAATGAAATGAGCTTTTGATTTTAACTTCTCGGAAGATTGAAATATGAAAACTATGATCTGAAGAAGTCTCCAAAATAAATTCAAATCAGAATTCTTATGTTTTGGTCGATCAATCAATATGCTAAAATACGTCAAAATTTCCGTTTTGTTTGTGACTCGCAAAGACTTAAAATCATAATTAGTAATTACCATGCCAGTGTATAAGTGACTTGATAAGTTCACATCCATCTAATTTATTATTGTTATCTGCATCATGCATTTTGAAATAATGAAATTGTAATTCTTGTTCAGACATTTTGCTTGTGTCTAATGTTGGTAGATCCAAATGTTTTTTTATGTGCCTAAAATAAAGTAATATGGTGAAAAAAAGTATATCATAAGTATAAACAGTTTACTATTTGTAAAAGATTTAAAATTATATTTACTCGCTTTCTTCTGCTAAGTTTGGATTATGTAACACTTGTTGTGTATGAGGATGATGTCCTTGGGAACCATGGCCGTGACTCTAAAATATTATTAAGTATCATAACAAATAATGGAACAAAGTTTATAATATATATAAAAGAATTATTCCTTATACAGTCGTATAGACAATTTATATAACTTATAAAAAGTAAGAACGTTATTTTTCCTACTTAAACCTATAATTATATGACATTGGATTTCATTTGTGTAATAACATTATAAATGGATTGTATGAAAAACAATTTTATTCACTATGATTAATTTAAATATTTCATTCTGTAAACTATATACCGGTGATGGTGGTTGTTGTTGTTGTTGTTGTTGTTGCTGCTGTTGTTGATGTTGCTGCTGCTGCTGAGGTGGTGGCGGCGGTTGCTGTTGGTAAGGTAATTGTTGAGGAACATTTTGTTGTGGAGGTAAATGTTGAATAGGTACCTGGAAGAAAACAATTAGTCAAACAATATATGATGTACAATGCATTTACTTTTAAGTATTTTATTCATTTATTTACTTGCTGTTGCTGTTGTTGATACAGTTGCGGATTGACACCTGGCGGTGCTGGTGCATATTGTGCAGACGATTTATGACACAAGACTACAAGAATAGGAAAAGTAACTAAAAGAGTTTTTGAAATCATTTTTGGTAGAAACACTCATATACACTTTTTAACGATGAACACCATACAATATAAATAACGAATGTGTTGTATTTAAAAATTCGAGTTAATTTTTTATGTACCTGAATGTGGTGTCGTCTTTAGTCAGCAACTTATATAATTTTATCTAACAAATGACAATATCGTCTCGAGCCATGTCATAAGTCATAACATAACGTTCAGAATTTATTCAGAAATTCCACTCGGACCGCCAGACGTCATTAACCATTATCAGTAGTTGGAAAGCCCCCATATCAGTACATCACCACGTCGTCAAGTCGCTTGTTTAGTTGTTTCCATGTAATACGTCATAATTTCAACTATATATTTTCTCGTGGCGAGGAGACCCCTACTCTTTTTCGGATCTTATCACTGGTGGATGAGTGATAAACAAAACACATGTTCGTTATCATTGTTATGTAATTCGGTCATCTAAATATAGTACTAATAAGTAATAAATAGTAAATACAACTTACTGATACCTTTATGATTAAAGAATTACAAAATAATATTATGTACAATGACAATGCCAGTGAATGACTATAATCTCGCCATAGTTGACAGTTGTAGTCTGCATGAGCCATAGTTGTTGTTGGCTCTATGAACTATGAAGTGTGAAGTATTATTTTATATGAATCTTACGACAGTAACTTACAGTAGTTGAGCACTAGTGGTAGTCAGTACTGAGTTATGTTTCGAATGTTCACTTGACTATTGAACTACAATTTCCAAACAACAAGTTTGTTTACACACCAATGATTATTTCGTATCACGCCACTATATTTGACTTGTAATTCGTTAATAATGTGAAATAATAATTAGTTTCGCGGACATTGTATGTTTATTTACAATTGTCGTCTGTCTTTAAAACCGTCAACACGTTTATGCAATGGGATTATTTGACTTCACTAATTCCTTCCGCGCTATAATCTATAGTCCAGATTTTCAACAATGGATAACGTCCACTTACTCTTTCATACTACTAACAGAAGTAAGTATCATACTCTATCATACATCATGTTTTGCTTAAATATACCATTATTTAAAATGCAATACAATAGCATAATATATTATACTAATCCCCCCTCCAGTGTAATAAATAACTTAGCAGTTAATTATTGTAGAAAATCACAATGGAATACATTTTTGCGATTATAGTAACTGTTGCGCCAGTTGATAAAGCAATCCATGACAATTGTTTAGAATTACATGTTGTGTCACATTATATGATTTTAAATTATAGGTATTTCAAGTATAAGTATTTAAAAACTATATTTTTCTTCAAGTTTTATATTATATATAATTAACATAATAGATATAGGTAAAGTGAACTTTTAAAATTTAAATGTTGGTTAACAGTTATTTTATTAATATTATTCGTATTAATTAGTTGAAGAAACACTTGAATAATATTAGGTACCATTTTAAATGAGTAAGCTGATAAATAACTTTTGTTTACATCCATACAATCATTTTGTATTTCTCATTTCATTTACAACAAAGTTGTACGGGCCGGGAACGAACAATATTAGGCCGTGATGCCCGGTCACCGAAATACATATTTAATAAGTTTTATTAACTCAAAAATTCTTGAATTTGATTTATACTTTTGAACTATAATGATTGAATAGCTGTTATCTAATGCATCAATTGTGTAAATTCAAAATAAATAACTTGACAATTTTAATACTTTTCGGTTTTCAAGAGTGATAAATATACTAAATGTGTCAAGTATTTAGTAATTTAATGAGAATATAGTCTTATTCCGAAAATAAAAAATATAATAACTTTAATTAAAGTAGAAATACAAGCGCACTTGTATAATATATATAATAAAAACTCAGTACATGCCCTTTAACCTGTCAATAGGTATCTATATAATATACAAGATGTCCTGCTAAGATTTATTCATTGCAATATCTCCTGAGATAATAAATATATCATAAATCGGTTTTTTTATTAAACTCACACAGATAAGGACTACACATATTTTATTTTTTTGGTGAAAATGTTGACTTTTCAATATTTTATTTTCATTAATCTCGTAATTTTTAATGATTTTTTAGTATATAGGTAAAACAGCAAAAAACCATTTTTTGTCCGGGTGGTTTGTCCCCCTCTACGGCTAATGAATATATCCTCTCGGGACACTCAGTATATTTATTTTTCCTTTATAATTTAGAGTTATACCTTTAAGCAGACATTTATCTATAACTAAGTTTTATTTAGGTAGATGTAACAGAATGTACATATCTTTATATACCTAATTGTTTTGTTTTATAATAATAATTTTTTTTTTTTTAAGAACATGTTGATAATAGTTGTATGCATAATAGCATCAATGTTATTAAGATTTGCCTTCTACAAATGGAAATCAAAATGTAAGTTACTTACTAAGAAAAATACTAATGAATCAATTAATCCAGAATTATTTGTTTATACATAGTATATTATGTTTATTTGTAGTTCATGTGATTCGCGGAAGTGACATCTGTTCTGTTCCTAAAACAAGGTTTCGAAAACGTGATAGAGTTTTATTCTATGGCAGAAAAATGTTGAGAAAGGTATACATATTTATAATTATGAATTATGATTGAAGTAAATTTAATTTATGAAACAAGATGTTATGATTTGTAGTTTAAAATCATTGCTACAACATCTACTATTTAAATATACATATGTAAAAAGTATTTCTGTTTAAAGTGTGTTTGTATAATTTTTCTTAAAAATACATGATATTCATTTGTCCAACAATAGTCATGCATGTTTATTATTTAATTTATGTAAAATTTTGTTTAAGGTTAAAAGTATATCTGGACAAGTACACGGCCAGGGAAAAAAAAGAAAATTAGTAATCAAATTTGCTAGGCGTTTACTACAAATGAGGAAAGAAACATTACCTCAGAGATTAAACGTAGGTTTTTATTTTTGCTTTACTCTTTTACAGTAAATATAATTTTAAATTAAGATGTAGTAGGTATTAGATAGATTTAAAAACTGAAAATAATTAAATATATTTTTCAAGATTTTAAAATTGTGTATTTAGGTCTACAATCTCAATTTTTTTTTTTGTGTTAAAGGTATTGGAACCACCTGCTGAGTATCTAGAGGAGGAATTAATAACCAAAGACGGGCAAAATGTTCCTCCTGATGCTTTTTATATGCTCCAAAGTATTCGGTGAGTTTTTATTTTATTTAATGTAAACAAATCAGTATCCTATTTAGAGTTTTTTTTTCAATAGTTATAAATGTTATAAATATATATTGTTATATTTATTTTTTATTTTTTAATATAGAGTTTTTGGCCACTTTGAAAAACCCGTATTTTTAAGACTTTGTCGTCATACAGAAATCTTAAATATACATGCTGGATCACATTTGTTTAAAGTTGGTGATCCTGATGAAAATGTATTCATTGTCCAAAGTGGACTTATTAGTGTCAATATCACTTCAATTGATGGCAGTATTATACCTCTGAAATTAGTAAAAACAGGAGATTGTGTTACATCATTATTAAGTTTTACTGATGTTCTCACTGTAAGTAAAAATACTAGTTATGTTCCCGAGAGAACAGACCCAAGTATTGTCTTAAACTTGCTAATCTTGTCCATTCCCCATTGTGAGCAGTGGTGTAACTAGGATTTTTGTGATTGGGGTGTTAATTATAAATATTATACAATCTATAACTTATTATATTTATATAATCTGTATATATTATTTATATAATGTGTCTGTTATGATCAATAGATTATAATAAATCATTAAACAAAGTGCTCCATGATTTGTTTCTAACCTGACCATCCATAAAGGTCTTTGCCTTAAACCAGAAGAAGCTATAGCTTTCTTTAAATGTTTCTTTATTGATTAGAAAACCATGAAAATTTAATAATTTAATATTAATATTGACTCAAGTGGAGTGTCTAACCTTCAAACACTACCCTTTTTGGATACACCACTGATACTCACTTGATATAGGTAAGTGAAGACCATATGAGGTCAAGAAGTACGCACTTTGTTTCACTAACACAGTAACACCATACACAAAACGGGTCTGTTCTCCTATGAAGCTATAAGACAAAGTATAATAAATTGCTTATTTCATTTTTATTGAATAAATATGTAACTTAGGGCCATAAAAAGAATTATAAAACTGTTAGTGCTCAAGCACTTGAAGATAGTACAATAGTAAGATTACCAGTTGCTGCATTTCAAGAAATCTTCGATGATGATCCAGAATCATTAGTCCAAATAATCCAAGTGGTTATGGTCCGTTTACAGAGAGTTACATTTACAGCTCTTCATCAGTATTTGGGACTATCTACTGAGTTGGTGCATAATGTAAGGATATATAATGGTTAAATTACAAATGCAGTAGTTAGTAGTATTCAGTATAATATTCTGAGCGGAGGGATGAATGTATTGGTTTTACTTTTACAATAATGGCCGTGGTTTTAAAATTAGACCTAGTTAATAATTTGAATAATAATAATATTAATAATATGATATCAAAGAAATAAGGACATTTTTGTCACCCAATAATTTCTAGCTATTCATATGTACCAGAAGAAAATGTTCAGTTGTGTCAATAATTAATATTAAATTACTATTAAGAGGATGCTAAGACATTAGTTGTCTTTGTCTTATATGTGCATAACAGCACATTTTACACTCATTCGATCACATTTAGCTCCATTAGTTTAAATATTTGAGTGAATTTACCTCTTATAGAATTTAAAGGTAAGATTATTTATTATTAGGGCAGGGCTGATATGCAAACCGATATTGATCATCGGCCAATATTGACAATATCAGTTTTATCAGTATGGGTTTTTATTTAAAACCAATATTTGAACTGGATATAAAAAAAAAAAACAATTTTTCATTATAATATATTAATATGTATAATCTAATATTATCAACTCTGCGCGCGTTGATAACTGTAAACACTAAACGTATTTATAATCATATTGATGTTATCATGTTATGTAAGTATTATCGGGTATTTTATAATATCGGTTCATGCGTTTGGATATAAATTCAAAGTGTTGAATATATCGGTTATCTGTTTTAAATTTGCATAACATATCAGGTTATCGGTTTAAAGTGATATCGGCCCATTCCTATTTATTATTATTATTATTATTATTATTATTATTATTATTATTATCTAGGGCATCTCATAGGCTTTTTGTTGTATTTTAATTTTAAAGTTAATTATGAGTTTTTTAAAATTGAAAAATGTTTGTTCATCTTAAAATACTCATAACTTGCTTTAAAATTAAAATATAACAAAAAGCCTATGAGATGTCCTAGAATCTAGGGCCTATATCTTACCTTTAAATTGTATAAGGGGTCAATACACTTTAATTTTTAATCTAACAGAGTTAAACGTGATTTGCTGGGCATACATTTTTTGAAGACGATGACAACAAATATCTGTATAATGTCATCTTGAGGCCCTTGACCTTAGAGACTGTAAAAAATTAAGGTACTTCTAGAAGTTGGATTTAAAAAGTGAAAAGATTTTTGATTTGTTTAATATGTTTACTTTGCATCAGTCCAGTTTTTAAAATAATTGATAATTGTTGGGACCTTGGGAGTATATTAGTATCCAAACACTAATGATTGATCATTTACTATATACACAAATACGAGCAGTCACTGCAAGGAACAAAAGAATTGCCTAAACAAAACTCCTTATAATTTACATGTTAGCAAGGGGCCTTAAGCTAGAGTGCTAGTGAGTGATTTAATAGTTTGGCTGTTTATCGCTACTCTATTCAAAAAACAACCTAGAATTTATTTGAAACAAAGGATAAGTCCCAATTTTATGTACCTTTATGAAATTGTATTACAAAAAATATGTTTTTTTAATTATATCCTAAGTAGTTTGTAATTTTGTCAAACTATATCTTTCAAGTTGGGCATATTTAATGTATTAATAAATTGTCTTAATATTGATATGTGTATAACATTTAAAAAAAAAAAAATACTTATGTTTTAGGGTTTAGAAGAAAGAAAAATGAGTCCTTTCATCTCAGCAACTAAAAATGAGTCTTCCATGTTTTTACAACAAGGTAGGTTTAAAAAAAAAATATTAATCAAATTCACTTCTGAAATGTTACATAACTATTTTTTTGTAAAAATGTATTTATTACTTTTATTTGTGTAGAAATTTCTATAACCGATAAAAAATTGGAAGCACTTTTAAATCAGCCCAAAACTGAATCAAAAATTGACCAAAAAGATTGGTATCTCAAAATTGCTAGGAAAGTTTTTGTCAAAAAACTCCAACTTGATAATGAAGATTTATTATTGGGAAAAGTGGAAATTCGCAAAATACCTACAAATACATATGTAATGCAAGAAGATTCTCATAAGGTATAATTCTTGTTATTAATACATTTATCCTTGAATTCTATAAGAGTATATATTTACAGAAGAAATAATATATATTTACAGTGGAAATAATATATATTTAAAAAAAACCATTTAACATCAATAGTAATAAAAAACAATTTCAATATTTAGAGTTTCAAATATTTTTTAAAATAGGTATCTTAGTGTATAAAAAACTATTTTGCAAATATTAGCATACTTGAATTCAACGCATTGATTGCGTATGTATTTTTGCAGTTTTCACTCAGTGCTTATGATAAAAGTAAAAAAAAAAAAAAAGAAAGAAAGAAACTGCTCATAACGACGTGTGTATACATATTTAAAAACATACGTTTAATTCATGCTAAATAATAATAAAATAACATTCAGCCAAGCGTTGGGAATATTAAACCATTTATCTTAAATGTATATTAGACGCTAAATGGCGTGAAACGCTTTGCGTCATGATCCTCATGACACCAAATGGCGTCAGTACGCATTTAATGTGTTAACATTAATTCAATCTTTTATTTAATTTGTATTGAGTTCTTTTATTATTTGTAATTTTTATCTACAAAATTAATAATTTTTCAGGATGCTGCATTAGTTTTGTTGTTAAATGGATCAATGATGGTATCACAAAAAATGGACCCAGAAGGATTAACTGAAGCTCATATGTATTCAGTTAATCCTGGTGATATTGTTGGTGGATTAGCTGTGTTAACTGGGGAACCTGGATTTCTGACGTTTAGAGCCGACCGTCCCAGTATAATTTCTATATTATCAAGAAATACTGTTTATGAGTAAGTAATATTAATATTTGTAACATAAATATCTGTATATAAGTTATGCAAGTTACCAATTTGAAGTATATTTTAGGTTGAAAGTTTTTAGAAAAATAAATTAATGATGGTATGTTATGATCCAGCTTTTGATGCTACTAAACTTAAGATAGAAAATATAATAATGGTCGGAACTAAGGTTTAGGACTTGTTGCACTAAAAATCTTTAAAATGGTTAAAATATGCAGTAAATATTTTATTTTAATTTGAAAAAAAAACATTCTACATATAAAAATTTTAAAAATATTGAATAGTTGAATATTTATTATGATTGATAATTAAGCAAGTTGTGTGCACGTATGTTGTCAGCTTCTTATTGATGCATAGCATATTAAAATATACATTCTGCCATTGGAGAACATTTTATGTGATATCTTATTGCTTTTTACGATATTTTAATTTTTAAGTGAGTTTTTCATGACGTGAGTATAAAAAATATTAAAATTTAAAAATTGGTCATAATTTGATTGAAATTTAAAATATTTTAAATAATCAACAAGATAGCAACGTTGATTATTAATTGATTAAGAGACTTGTAGGATCTTAATTAGTGCAAATTTTTTTTTGGGAAATATGTTTTCAAAGCGTTATATCAACACAATATTTACTATATTTAAGTAAATAATAAAATTACCAACAAATTTTCAAATATGTAAAGTCAAACTTTGTTTAATTTTTCCATTTCACAAAATTTGTTTATTTCTTAACCTATAATAATCTTTTCGTCTACCCCAAAAAAACTTGCAAATGCTAGTAGTCCTAAACCCTAGTTATAACTTATAAAATATTGATCATTATTATTATTACAATATAAGTCAATCCTAAAATATTTTCTTTAAATAAATGTTATGATATATAAGTAATAAATTGTTCAATTTTTTTGACAGGATTATAAGAGTAAAACCACAAATTGTTTTGCCTATAGCAAATACAGTGGTTACTCGGTTATCATCATTTGTACGTCAAGTCGATTTTGCATTGGATTGGTTATTTTTTGAAAGTGGACGTGCAGTTTATAGGTGAGTTAAAAATTATTTCTTTGCTTATGCAGATACAAATAGATAACATAGAATTTTTGGTAAAATCCTTTTTTAGTGTCTAATATTATATGGCTTACATAATAATCAAAAATTATTTTATAGTTTCATACAAAATAGTGTTGTTTAAGTTAAGATAAATAATTCTAATAAATATTATATTATTATTTATTATAGTTTAGTGTTTATACTTTATACACAAAAAATCATGAGACAATACACATACTTTTAAATTGTTATGTTTAAGAAGACACTAACCATGTATGTTTTGTCTCCATCTTACCAGCCAATTTTATGTTGCTGGTTTAAATATTCACTAATCAATTCACTAATTAACCAATTATCAAACTAAAAGTAAGAACTTTATCTTTGCTTATCGTTAGTTTTTTTTTTCTATATTTAAATTTTGAAAGATAGTGTGAGTATGTAAAATATCACAATTAAAAATGCTCATATTATAATATTGAAAAAAAGTTTATCCAAAAACACAGATAATCTTCTTACCTTTAAGTTTGTCAATAGGTGGTCAATTCACTCTAATATTTAAGCTTAAAACACAAAATTTGTTTTGCTGAACTTAATTTTTTTTTTTTTACTTTTGTAAGATGAAACCAATGCATGCATGGTAGCGTACTCTTAATAATTTTAGGAAATGTACCTTATTCACTCATAATGGTAATTCAATTGAAGAATTAGGTAATCTCCTCATTTTAGTTTTTACTATTCAAAAATCAAATGTATAATTTTAGTTAAGTCTTAGATTAATACATAAATAGTCCATAGCTATATCTGTAATACCAAAACTCTAAAAATATTTAGTAATTACTAATTACTACAATTCACAAGTAAATTGAGATCATTAAGAATACATTTATTAAGCAGGGAATTATTTATGACGGTTAAGAATGATGTTGTCATTCAGCGGTTAGAGGAAAATTAATTTATGTCCTTTAACTTTTCAGTAAAATATGCTGTTGTCAAGTTTTATCGTCAAAATTATAATACATAATGTCATTGATAATCTATTATCAATACTATTTATGATAAATGTAGACTACCATAGCAAAAATATATTATATTATATTGCTACTTGAATATTTTTGCATTATATATAACAACTTTATTAAGCGGACTGCCCACCATGCGGGTTGCCAAGAGATACAGTATACATATTCAATATTGATCTACATAGGATTGTTTTAAGATTATAAAATTATAGTAAATAATTAAATAAATAGAATTACAGTTAATTTAAAAGATAAAATACCCACTAGGTAGAATTTATGATGGTTTAAAAAAATACAGATTTTATATAAAATAGAATAATTGACAAAAAAAAAGATAATTCTTTTTTTAAAAAGCTGTTATAATTAACTGTTTTTTTTTTTTACAAAATATCATATATATTGTAATATTTGATATTGGAGAACATTATAATATAGCTTTATAATATTACTCTATACACTAAAAAATAAGAAATTAAATTGATGAAATATTGTATTTTGTGTATTTACTACAGACAAGGTGAAGAATCGGACAGTACATTTATCGTATTGAGTGGGCGGTTGCGTTCTGTTATCACACATGAAAATGGTAAAAAAGAGTTGGTTGCTGAATATGGAAAAGGAGATCTAGTAGGAATTGTGAGTTTCTAATATTGAAATGTTTGTTTGCTTATTAAAAAGTGAGCTAGAATGCAATTGGCCCCTACCTCTTATAACAAATAAAACAAAATAATTTTATGAATCTGTATTAACCCAAGCATCAGGAGGTTCAAAATTATGTTGGGACCTTTTTTTGTGAGTGTTATGTAATATAATTTTTGGATGAGTCCTAAACTTTAACAAAATATATATAATTAATAAATTATAAATAAACTATGTATTAATTTAATAGGTAACAGAAGTTTCATATTAATATTGTTTGAATTAAAAAAAAAACCAAACAAAATGTTAAAGAACCAATAATCTCTAAAGGTTCATATTTTGAATGAATCATATTATGATATACAGCTACTTTTCAAGCAGATTTGTTTTTATTCATAAAATGTTTGGATTTTTATTTATAAATAATAATAATGTAAATTTTATTTTGTTTTATTTGTATTTATTTTTTGACTATTATAATTTATTACCATGTTTTCTAATTATAATTATTGTATCTATTCAGGTAGAAGTTATTACCCAAACACCTAGAGGAACAACTGTTATGGCAGTTAGAGATTCAGAACTAGCCAAATTACCAGAAGGATTATTTAATGCAATTAAAAAACGTTTTCCTGGAGTTGTTTCTACGCTTATTAATCTTTTGGGTCATAGAATTTTAGGTAATTTAAAAAATTTATATTTTTGATTTTGTGTAACTTTATTCTGTAAAATAATAATTATGGTCTTTTAGTAGTAAACCAATAAATCATTTTATACTTAAGGTGATTCAATACCGTGATTTTCTGTCTTTGTCTAACACATGCACTACATAGGATTTTAAATATAACAATTTTTTTATTACTAATTTTTTTAACATAACTTTTTTATGAATTTGGCGGATAATATAAAAAATGTGGGAAAGTCGATTTCAAGTAGACTTGACTACAAATTCAAATATGTTTTCGGAATTCTTATTCATTAGATCAATTAGTATGTTTGGCAAATAACAAGTTTAAAATATCACGCATGTGTTTGACAAAGACAGAAAATCACGGTATCCAATCTTAAAAATGAGATTGTTAAATTGTTGTTGGGGTATTAAAATTATTAAATTCTAGGTACTTGGCAAAAGCCTACGATTAGTAAAACACTAGATACAAGACCAACGCAAAGTAATTTTTCAACTATTGCCATTGTGCCTATATCAGATGATGTACCACTAACGAGTTTTACATATGAACTTTACCACTCGTTATGCTCTATTCGATCAACTATACGGTTAACTTCCGAATTTGTTAGAAGTGTATTAGGAAAATCAATAATGGATTTGAATAATGAGTATCGTTTAACTACATGGTTAGCCCAGCAAGAAGACCAACATAAAATTGCACTTTATCAATGTGATTATTCGTTTTCTTCATGGACTCAGCGTTGTATTCGACAAGCCGATTGTATATTGCTTGTCACACTAGGAAATAAACAACCTATATTAGGAAAAGTAAGTTTTCATGTTAAACTATTTTTTAGATTTCATAATGCTTATAATTATAATGTTTAGGTTACTAATAACTGTTAATAAATTAGTATTAATTATAATTGTAAATATTTTTTAACTAATATCTATAGATATTACTTGTTATACAAAATTAAAATTTTTTCTAGTATGAAAAAGAGATTGAACGCCTAGCATTACGTACCCATAAAGAATTAATTTTGATACACAGAGAAGATTCAGATTTACCATCTAATACAGTTGAATGGTTGAATATAAGATCGTGGGTATCTTCACACCACCATGTACAGTGTCCTAAACGTATATTTTCTAAACGTTCTGTTTCAGTAATAGTAAGTGTTTTATAATTAATAATCTATTCAGCTAGAGAACATGCCGATTCTGCACATCCCCACTCTTTATCCTGCCATTGTGACCAATTCGACTATGGCAGGGTACCGCAAGGAGATTTGCAGAAGAACCAATTTTTGTCGGGTTGCTGCGTGTTCTCTCGCTGGATAGGGTATAGTATGTATATTTTAGATAGGCATTGCAATACAATAATATCAATTGGTATTTACACTTTATATAATTATTATTTTATACCTACAACCTATAATATTATTGAATAATAATAAGGGAAACATAGTAGCAGGCCTTCTTTGTGTTGCAGTTCCCAAATTGGGTAGTAGGTAATACCAAAGATCCAAAAGTGTAGTTTATTTAACCGGTATAGGATAAAGGAATGAAATAAAATAATCATTATTAATTAATTTAATATTATATATTCTCATAATTCCATCTTATAATACCACAGAAAATCAAAATAATAAATATAGTCTGATCAAAATGAGATCGGTACAAAGCGGCGACCAGTTTTCGTCGGGCGGCAGTCAGACATATGGTCATTGATTAGACTCCGTCCTCACTACGGCTACACGTCGGGCGCTGCCACGGAACAAAGCTACACCCATGCGCATTATTTGGCCGCCCGTACCGATCTCATTTTGATCAGACTATAGTGATCCTAAAATCCATCCAATTATTTCCACCATACATGAGACAGTCTGACTTCAAAACTCTAAGATTTTTTTTTGGCGATATAAAAAAATCATAGATAAAAAGGTAATAATCTTCAAGACTGCATAGTTCACCTTATACTAAAGTATAGGACATAACTACATAAGGTACTAAGCTAAGTACTTATCATTATAGGTACCAAATATTATACTAAATAATATTTTATAAAATGTATAATATGGTCTAGCATAGTAGTAGATCTTTTTATCATGCTAAATGTCCTAGTTGTCATTATAATAAACTGATTTGTTTAAATTTGTATGTCGTTCCCGCACAATTAAATTTTTAAAATAGAGAAATAGGCTGGCAAAACGTCCTTTCTCAGAATCAACATCATTGAATTCAAATGTAACAAATCCATTAGAGTAATCTACTCAATGAAAAGTAATCAACATCTACTATACAGCAGAGTGATTTCCTTAACTTTTTAATAAATAATTTCTAATTTTTCTAATTTACTAAATAATAAGTATGATTAACAATTATTACATTTTAAACCTACAAACTTTGATATTTATAAAATCTAAATAAATAAATAATATAACACATATTAATATATTTAGTGTGATCAATATGAAAAAATATTACAAACAGAAGTCAACATACATTCAGATTATTCTCGTTTAGCTAGATGGTTAACAGGGACTTCTGTGGGTCTAGTATTAGGTGGAGGAGGAGCAAGAGGTGCTGCTCATATTGGAATGATAAAAGCTATACAAGTATGTTATTATTTTATTTTTATACTTGGGGTTTTATTATATAAGAAAATATGTTTGTATTATTTGTTTATCAGGAAGCTGGTATTCCCATAGATATGGTTGGTGGTGTGAGTATTGGTGCTTTTATGGGAGCTGTATGGTGTGGCGAAAGAGATATTATTGGAATGACACGCAAAGCCAGCTCTTGGGCTGAGGTATAAAAAATATATTTTTATGTTTTAACTAAATTTAAAATAACATATAAACTATAATATTATTTCTTGGTTAAATAAATTTTTTTTAAATGCAATAACCTGTAGGCTGTAATTAAACTGACATGCACTAAAAAAAATGTTAAATAATAAATTCAAAATTATTTTGTAGTCAATGACAAATCGGTGGAGGCAAGCATTAGATTTAACTTGGCCATCTACGTCTATGTTAACTGGTCAATATTTTAATCATACATTGATTTCTGCTCTCGGAGAAACACAAATTGAAGACTTGTGGTTGCCATATTTTACAATTACTACTGATATATCAGCCAGTAAAATGCGAATTCATACTCATGGTATAATTAATTCTTTATTTAAACATAATAATATATTACCTATGTAAATTGTTTGATAATAATTATTAATAACAATTGTATATAATGTGTGTTAAACATATTTATTAAAGTTTATTCGAACAAAATTAGGTATCATTAATGGTTTTATTATATTTTAATGTTTATTTCTTAGATCTGTTATTTATTTTTTAAATGTCCTCTTAATCAATTTGTTTTCTTTTATACTTCTAAGAAGTAAGCTAATAAGTTTCCTAGTTATACAAATGGTGTACATAAATATTTATTTAAAACTAGTGTACACTGAATTTTAAATGTCCTTAAAAAATAACTTTTATTTTTATAACTTCTACAATATTAATCTAAAAGTATTTAGAATTTTTTCGAAATGTTGATTTGTAGTTAATCAATAATTAAATACTTTAAATAATAGAATTTATTTTGATTGTGATACTTATGATAGTAGTTGCAGGTTGTTCTGATCACCTGCACTCATGACCTTAGATCATATACTATGGATTGACCTATGTCCCATTAACTTGAGCACTTATCAGCTACGAGTTTCTGATTGAGATGATTCATGTGCACATGCTCAAAGAGAGATGTCACTTATTTTTTATATGAATTGATATATTTATAAATATAATCCAACAGCTAAATATGTGATGATTTTTCTCAAGTATGCGCACATCAAGTATTTCAGTCAGAGGCTCGTTGTTTATATGGGTTTCGAATTGTTTAGACCGGCGAGATGGACATGGCTCTGTCCATAGTATAATAAATATGATCTGATCTTATGACTTATTAGTTATGATCACTTACTATTGACTCACTTGTATGCACACAATACAGTGTATACATAACAAACTAAATATTTTCTAGGAAATTTAACTTTAAGCAATAAATATAAATATTTTTTAATATGCAACAGTATTAAGTTTATATTCACTAATTTATTTTTAACACGAGTTAACGCATAAAAATGTTTATCGCACATACATATTTACAGTGACTACATATTTTATTATTCTTCAATAAAATTAATTTACTGTAACTACTGTGATTGATTTACATATTTGGGTTTTGATAATGTAAATTATTTAAAAAATTTAAACAACATTTTTTAGATAATTCGTTTTATTTTGAATAAGCGGTTTTATATTCTAGGATCTTTGTGGCGTTATGTTCGATCATCAATGTCTCTGTCCGGTTACATGCCACCTTTATGCGATCCAATTGATGGGCATTTATTATTAGATGGTGGATACATAAATAATTTACCAGGTATATTAATCACTAGTTTTACATAAATAGATTATTTAAATTAATAACAAGATAAACAGGTTCAGTTAATTAATTTAAACAATACTAATGGTATAACGCTTAGATTACATTTTATAATACTCAAATTTCCAATGTATAGCATGGAAGCTAATTAAAGCATATTATTAATTTCTTGCAAAAATTCTTAATAAATATGTAGTAATATCTCTAATTAATAATTTGATATTGGAAAATGTATGTGCGATAGGCATTTATGGTTAAACATTTGTCTTAGCCAAGATGACCTTAATTAGTGTGTGGTAACTGGTAAATAGGTTATGTTTGGAGGTATGTGCGAGCAAGTATGTCAATTGCTGGTTTATTTCCTCCCATGTGTAATCCCGATGACGGACATTTACTTGCTGATGGTTGTTATGTAAACAATGTACCAGGTGAGTATTAGATAATCTAATCTAAAATATCAATTATGTTAGTTGATATTTTTGAAGATAATTGGACTGATGTATTTTGAGAAAGTAAGGTACAACAAACTACCTCCCTCCCCCCTATAGTGATACTATAGAGTAGTAAAGACATTGTATATTATTCTATTGCATCAATCTGTTATTGAAGTGTTAGTTTAATTGCACATACATTCTCCAATAATCAAAATAATATCTAAAACAGTAATATTAATAATTAATAATAAAAATAATTAATACTATATATTATTTTTAATATTTGATTAAATATATTTCAATAAGTAACTTAAGTAAAATATTATTGAATAAAGAACTTTCTTGTAAGTCATAATATTAAATGCTAACTGTAACTGATTAAAATGTGTGTACAATTTAGCCGACATTATGCGTAACCTTGGAGCAAAACATGTTCTCGCTATTGATGTTGGTTCTCAAGATGATATGGATTTTACCAATTATGGAGATAGTTTGTCTGGGTTTTGGTTATTGTGGAAAAGACTTAATCCTTTTACTGCATCAGTTAAAGTTCCAAATCTGGAAGATATACAATCTCGACTTGCGTATGTTTCTTGTGTTCGTCAACTTGAGGTAAAGTTTTATTCTTTTATCTTTATAAATGTTTTGTTATAACTTATAATTGTCAACATATTTATTATTAATATGTTATTTTCTATTTCTTAAATAAAGGTGGTAAAAACGAGTGATTATTGTCAATATATAAGGCCTCCAATTGACAAATATAAGACACTTCAGTTTAAAAGTTTTGAAGAAATAAAGGTAATTTTGGTGTTACAAATTAAATAACAATAATTCATCAACAAAAATACGTATCTGATGTAACTCACAAAATAAAAAAAGGTGGGTAAGTGGGTGTCACTGCTATACAGTAGGTTACAAGTGGGTCACTGTAATGGATGGTGTTAAATTTTAATTCCATGATATAATATCATTATATACGAAAAATGATTCTGACTTCTGAGTGAAGACGGTCAGTCAGCCTATGGTCTATAAGTATATTTGATGATTTTTTGTGAACAAAGTAATTTATTTACCTATTTACGTGGAACCTTGTCTTAAATTTTCAATCCTTACCCATAAAAGTTGAACATTTTATAAATTTTTAACTACAAAATCAATTTTAAATATTGAACTTAAAATGCTTGTAAAAAAATGTGTGCATATGTATTTTTAATATTTTTTAACTGCTATTGTAACAATATTGTATTAAATTTTCACTCTTTTGACCCAACGAATAAAATTGTATTAACATTTAATGTCAAAAACAATAAATATTGACAAATTTTGGAGAAAAAAAAACTGAAAATGCCCGTAAATGCTCAAAACAAGTCAAAATATTTTGAAAATTGTATGGTGTAAAGAAAATAGCATGGTTATATAAACATTCTGTGAACATTTTGTTGATGATATTGAGTAAAAATTCCCTCTTTTTCTCAATTTTTTTTTCGTTTTTCCCAGCTAATATATTAGAAGCCTTGTATTAAATTTTCAAGCTTTTTTATTCATTAAGTAAAATTTTATTGACAATCATAAGAAAAAAAACTAAAAAAAATAGAAACTGAATATGTCCGTAAGCAATTTAAAACAAATCAAAATTTTTTGAAAATGCTAATATTAACACCTAGAAAAAATTTGTTTTTCTAAAATCTGCTTTTCCCTAATTAATTTTTTGTTTTTCCCGCCGCTTTTGAAAGTTACTGTGAATTTTTTACTTTTGACCCCTCCAAGTGCCAACTATGTTCACATTCCTATCAGAAAAGATATGTTGAAGAAAATCTAAGCATTTTTACTGTCCTAAAAGGTGATGACAGACACAAATAAAAAAAAAATTATTAAAAAAAACATCATTACATTACATCACCAATACATTCATTGCTCTGCTCAGAATCTAAAATTTTCAGGAGAATTATTTGTTCACAATTATTAAATATGATTTAAGAGGATGTGATACCCTTTAAAATGTACAAACAATTTACAATTTTAAAATACTCATAGCTTGCTTTAAAATTAATATATAATAAAAAGCCCTTGTGAGATTGTCTAGATAATAATCTTACCTTTAGATTTTATAAGAAGTCAATTTACTTTAATTTTTAAACTAATGGAGCTACACGTGTTCTGCTTTGTGAAGAATTTTCTATGTTACTAACTTGTAAGACAGAGACAACACATGCGAGTATCACGTCCTCTTAATGAATGTTACATTTTTTTTGTGCAAATTTTCAATAAAAATATAATTTGAAAGTTATGTTACTAGGAAAAAAGTTTTTTTTTTTTTTTTGTTCATCGTCAATCTCTATTTTGATGATGTTGTGGGTTACATCAATTGGCATTTTCATCATAAATATACAAGATCATTGATTAATACAATATTTTAGGTCATTAATCGTAAACTATTTATCTTTGATTTTTTATAATTATTTTATTTGTATTTCTTACAAGTTAAATGTATAAAATAAAAAATTTACACATTGTTTTATTATTTTTTTAGGAAGTAGGCTATCAACACGGTAAGACATATTTTGCGGGTTTAAAATTGGCTGGAAAAATTCCGTTTGGAAAACAAGAATCCATGATGTCTCATATTAAACCTGAATAATGTTTACATCTAGGTATTGTTCAAACAATTTCATCCAGTTACCAATTAGTTGAAAGTATTTACAATGTTATCATCAAAAAATCTATTTGTATAATTAATGTATATTATGTAATTAATGAATCAAAAAGAATTATAAGTGATAAACAATTGTGATACAAAAATTAATCTAGTTCACCTATACCCCTACATTAATTTAGATGTTAATATTGTATATATTTATTTCATAATTGAAAGTTTTGAATGTCAATGAAACTTAAAAAAAAAAAAAAATGTTTTTAATTTATCAATAATGTAAGGTATTTTATATTCTTATTTTTCTTGAGATTTTAAACTTAATGGTTTTATTGTTAATACACAATACTTTATATTTGTGTTTTTTTTTATACATTTTTATTAACTATAATAGTTTTTAGATTTATAAAATACTTTATTTTGATAGTATCACTAAAATCATAAGTTATGAAAAAGAAAAATATTTTATACCTATTCAAAATTTAATAAATACATTTTTTTTTAAATTTAAAATTTTTCATTTGGTATACTCATCGTTTTCATTATTCATCTATTTTATCAATAAATATATTATTGAAAATATATTTTTTGATTAAGAAATTTCCAAAAAAAAATAAGAATTTCATACTAAATACTAATGACTACAAATTATGTAAGTCAAATATTTTTAGTAACACATAAATGTACCCAGAAAATGGCTATATAGTGTAAGTACAATTGCATTCTATATTTACAGGATGTTTTTATAATGGTCAACAAATGTCACCCTTAATGACCTTCAAAAAATTGTCCATGTTATTCCATAGAAAGTCTAAATTTGAATTGACATGTCACAATATGTGACCAGCAATTCTTGCCTCAAGGTGGCTTAATCAATACAATTATATTACCCCTGACGACTGACGAGTTGAGAGGATTATTATATATTACGGTATAATTTAGGTAGGTACTTATTGATAATAATAATTTATTAACTATTTTAATTATATTACACACTGTGTCTTTTTACACCAAATCAATAAAAAATATTTTATTATTTATAAATTAGTTCATGGTAATTAATAAAATTTATATTTGTTAGTATTGTGACCTACTTAAAGAATTAGTTAAATTTTTAATAATTGCAGAGGTATACTCCCATTAATTGAAGTGATATTCACACTAACAATAAATACATTCTCATCAGGATCGTGAACATTAAGCAGATGTGATCCAGCATATACATTTAAGATTTCAGTATAAATATGGCTTTTTCAAAGTTGCAAAAACTCTGTAATAATAATAAATTAAGTACACTATGTATTTATAACTATTGTAAAAAAAAACTCTAAATAAAATAGTGATTCATTCACATTAAATAAAAAATAAAACTCACCGAATACTGTGTACACTTTGTAGCATATAAAAATCATCAGGAGGAAATGAGGAACATGTATCCTGCCTTTGGTTATTAATTTCTCTTCTTAAATACCTACACAGCGAGTGGTCGCAAAAAGTTATCAGAGCAATATAGAAGGAATCCATATGTGTAATAATAGGGGACCGGAAAATGCAAGGTTACTTGGGTTCGCAGATGATTTTAACTGTTTGGGCAACTCGTTAATCAACTTCAAAATAATAAAAGCCATGAGATAAACATCCAATAGAGTAGGACTAGAAATCAACAGAGGTACAACAAAAATAATGAAACAGTTAGAAAATGAAGATGATGAGTATTGATGACGAATTTGAGTTCGAAAAAGTAATTGAATTTCAGTATTTAGGAGTTATGTTGAGTGTCAAACATATTAGAAAATCCATTAAAATTTCAGTGGGACAAACAATATTATAAACAGCATCGTGAATGGGGGGAGGGGGCTTCGATCCCACTAAAAAAGGAGGCTTGACGGACTTTTGGGTGGCTAAGCCCCCGTAAGCCACCCCCCCCCCCCTGATAACCGCCTATGGATTTCCAAAAATGATTTGTCAAAAGATATTGGAAAATAGTAATGATGGCTGAAAGAGCATCATTCGCCCTAAGAAATGTATAAAATCAAAATGTTTCTCAAAAAAAATATTGTACTCTACGATAATAAGATCCTGCATACTCGCTTGTGAATGCGAAAGTGAAGCATGATGGATGACTACTAGGAACTTCGAGAGGATGTGAAGATCATTTGACAATACAGTATGGAGAGCAATTTATGGCCCCATAGGCGGAACTAGGGTTAACATTTGGGAAGGATTACTGCCCACCTAACAAAAACCATAAATTTAAAATAACTCATAGGTAGGTAGCTTATATCTAGGGCTGGGATTTTAATGCCCTGAAAAATCCCGAAAAATGTTATATTTTAGTATAAATTATAATAAAAAGTTTAAAAAATGCATTACAAAAATCTATTACAAGTGTAAGCTGTCAATACATAGTTTTAGTATACAAAGCTCGTACTGAACGTCGAACGATATCATCGGACCGATTTAAGATTACCGATTTAAGATTATTTAACAGGAAATGCGGGTAGAGGTTACTCAAACCTTGTCCGATAATATAATACGAATTACGAATACCTACTTATAATCTGTTATATTTATTTAAAAACCATGTTGGTGTAAAAATCTTAAAATAAAATTTCAAATTCATACTTGGTTTCCAAAAACTCAAAAAATGCTCCAAAAACTCTAAAAAATTAAGAAAATAACCTAAAAACTAAAAAATGCAAAATAAACTTTCTTATTCTCATTCAAATTTACATAAAACAAATTTGTGACAAGACGAGCATTGCACAGTAAGCTTAGGAAAACAATGCAAAGTGCATCGAAATCCCAGCCCTACTTATATCCATATCAATAAGGAATATTTTTTTTGGGGAGAGGGACTAAATCGTAATCAGGGGGCCAAGCCACCCTCTTCCTAGCCGGCCTAGCCCCCTCCACACTAGTGACGCCACTGACAATACCACGATATAATATTATAATAACATGCAGAACAGGTGCATGGAGAAGAAAGTACAATCGGGGAATTGCAAGAATAAAATATGGGATAACACCAGTCACCAGTTTTATAAATGGCCAACAAATTAGATGGCTTGGGCATATTAAGCTCAAAAATCTAAAGGGAAGAGACCTAGAAAGTAGAAAGATATGATGAAAAATAATTCAATTAAATAGGAGTGCACGAATGGAAGACGATAGTCCAAGACAGAGTAAAGTGGAAGGAAATTGTGATGGTGAAAAACTCTTAGAGAGTACTAAATTCCAATAGAAGAAAAGTTATTGAATATAATATGCTCCGGTCGTTGCAAAGTAAACTTCTTTTCCAAATCAAAAATCTTTACACTTTTTAAAACGAACCACTACAAATTACAATAGTACCTACCTTAATTTTTGTCAGTCAGTGTAAGGTCATTATGATGGATCAAAATGTATAGGGTTTGCTGGGACCTTAATTATATTATATAATTTTCTTATTAGTTGCTGCCAAAAATGTGAAGTTTTGTTAAAATAATAATACATAATATTATTTTGATTGTTTGGCTGAAATTCAATATTTGGTAAATCAGTAAGTGGGCTACTTTTGTTTTTTCCCGGGCCAAAATATATCCCCAATCCACCCCTGGTTAATCTATAGTATTTGCTATTTGCAAATGTTTAGTAATTTTTATTATTTAGTCATCTTTATATCGTATGCTTAGAAACTTAAATATATCCATGAAGAATGAACATTGAAAACTTGACTTATGAGTCATGTTTTTAATTTTTAAAGGGAATGTTTAAGAAATTTTAGTTAATCTATGCATATGACATATCTTTTATCGGTTAAATATTAATATATATCTCGATATATCGGCGAAGCTGAGAAACGGTCCAACCGGCAACCCGTATGGCTGAATCGGATTCTAATTTAATTGGGATTTAATATTTTAATAAATTCTGTGATTTTAATACTTATCCGGTTCGTAGGTATTATACAACAGTACATTAGTATCGAATATTTTAGATTTAGCTGAGTGATGAATGTATTGCTCTGTTTTTTTCTGTTTGTCATCTTTCATCAGGCATCATCTTTTCGGGTACCTACACCTAACTAGTAAAAATTTCGATTTTCAACTTCTAAGGTGGTTTTTGTAGCAATTAGCAAATTGAATCTAGTCAGTAGTTGGTACTTTTGAGGATGGGTGATATGATTTATTAGGAGGGGTTGCCGGGGCAGGGTAGAAAGTAAAAAATATTATCTTATAATTTTTCAAAATAACTAGGAAAAACAACATTTACTAAATATATTTTTTTCTTTTTGAGCTATATATATAAATATCAATTTTTTTAATTTTCAATTGTTTTTAGTTTGTTAACTAAATTTGTTTTTGCGTTTTGGGCTGGAATGCTGGACAAATATTAGTTTATTATAACGGATTTTCTGTAACGTTTTGTTTATCGTTTTGTTGTATAGGAACGAAAATCAATAATAATTATATGAATTCTGAATTTTGTTATTATTCTAAAAATCAATCTATAATTCTTAATTCGTTATAAATTCCTAACACGGCGGCGTGTTCTGTGGTCACTCCGCTCCCTTCGCTCTCTCCGACAATTATTAAAATCGAAAACATCCATCGACTTGTTATGTAAAACCACCTAGGGTGGGTCTTGCCAGTCCTGGAGTTAAATCTGTACCATAATTTTTAAAGCGTTGATTTACCTAGTTTTCAAAAAAAAAAGTGGGTAAGTGGATGTCGCTCTGCTGTACATTAGGTTACAAGTAGGTCACTGTAATGTATGGTGTTAAATTTAAATTCAATGATATATTATCATTGTATAAGAAAAACGATTCTGGGCGAAAACGGTCAGTCAGCCTATAATATTACAATAAGTATATTTGATGATATTATTGTGAATAAAGTAATTTATATATTTACCTATTGACGTGGAACATTGTTTTACATTTTTAATCCTTAGCTATAAAAGTTGAACTTTATAAGTCTACAAAATAATTATTAAATTTTAAATTTACTATTTTTAATATTTTTCATCTGCCTTTGAAACAATATACTTGGAGCCTTCTATTAAATTTTCAAGCTATTTAATCAACAAATAAAATTTTATTGATATTTTTAGAAAAAAAACTAAAAAAAAATGGAAAATGAAAATGTCCCTAAACAATTCAAAATAAATTTAAATATTTTGAAAATGTTATCGTGTATAGAAAATTCAAATATAAACAATTAGTGAAAATTTCATGTATCTAAAATTCAATTTTGTGATTAAATCGATTTTGCGTAAAAATTTCCGTTTTTCCTTAATTTTTCTTTTGTTTTTCTTAGCGGTTTTGAAAATTGCTGGGAGTCTGGGAATTTTAAATTTTGACCTCCCCAATGCACCAACGATATTCCACGGACTTAGATATAATATATTATATTATATCTTAGTCCGTGATGGTAATCCGAAAAAAAATCCCCCGACGAACAACCCCGGAAAAAAAATCCCCGACCCTAGGAAAAAAAATCCCCAGCTACAATTTTACTGACAATCACATGCAAATGGTTGAACAAATATATTTTGAACGTTAATTAGTATCTATAATTAATATTTAATGACAAATACGTATATTATATTATATTGTTAAAAAAATTATAAAAATATTTATAATGATCGATACGTCAATTAATAATACAGTTAAAAACATAATATACAAAAATATTATACAAAATATAGGTACCTATATATTTTATGTAGGTATAATTCTGTAAAAATTGAATTCCCGAAATAAAATATTGCGTTTTCTATGACATTTTGACGATAAGCGGTTTAGTATGTACCTACCTTTGATAATATATAATATAAGGTAAAGTTAGTTATTTAATTTGAATTACACATAATATATTATCGTAATTTAAAACAAAATATTATTTATAATATATTATAATAGAATATAATATACGTATTTGTAATTAAATATTAATCATAGATACTAATTAACGTTTAAAAAATATTTGTTCAACCATTTGCAAGAGGTTGTGAGTAATATTGTAGTCTGGGGATTTTTTTTCCGGGGGATTTTTATTCCGGGATTCTCCGTGATACATGCACATCGACGCGGCCCTCCTGTTTGGACGTCTCCCAACTTCTTATCAGGCACTCATAGTTATCACGATTGTCCATTCGATCGTTTCATCCATGGTATAACGCTCTCGCACAATCGTTCGCTCCATGGTTAACCTCATGTTTCTCAGCTCGCACGATTATTATTATTATTATTATTATTATTATTGCGTTGGGCACCGTGTGGCTTGTGCTATTCCTTTAACTTGTAAGCGAGTGACACCACTCGCCACTGTTAAAACGCGAAACCGTTTTCCTTGTTTAACATATAATTTTGCACCGCTTGCGACGAAAATCCACTCTTTCGTTACTCAGGCCACGTGTGTTCTGCTTTTTTTTGTAGTCTCGTAGACGCGTCTCGCGACCATCAGATTGCCGGCGCCCGCGTGTGTTTGTGTGTGTGACACCGCGTTTGTTTGACATTTTCGATACCGTTCCGAACCGAGCCGCGTGACCATGGCCGGCAGGAGTGCATTCAGTGACTTCGACAATAGCAGGTATTTTACGATCATATTACCCGAGACACGGCACGACGTTCGACGGCCGCCCATCATTCATTAGAATTGCAACTCATTGACCGCCGTCGCTCGCTGCCGTGTCGTTTTCCCCGTCCGAAGGCCGCGTATCGATCCGAGTGGCCGCTGAACGGTTTGCGAATTCCGACGACCTACTCGGAAGGCGGCATCCGTCGGCTGGTTTCTCGGTGATCGGCCGGCTTTCTACCGATGGTCGTACATAAGCTGGACGGCTGACTACTTAGGGTCCCTGGCGGCTCTCCGAAACTACAAAAATTAGACAACCTATTTACAACCATCAGATATTGTGTTTACCCAATATTACAATATAAAATTGATTTCATAAAAATAAATTATTTATTACTTCAGTACCAACGAAATTCGCTTACAACATGTCGTGCTTTTTACAGTATGCAACGTAAAGCTTACTGTGCAACAGGATAGTGATACTATTAAATTGTAAATGATAAAGAGTTTATTGTAAAAGCTGGACACCTAAATATCATCTAAATAGTAATTTAAACGGGTATTCTATGCTGCCACACACACTTTCAACATTATTAAATATTTTTATATTATAATATTTTATATCAACACTAGTCTGTTTGGTATATTTTTAGAATGTGAATCCACTGCATAGTCATTATCTAAATTACAAATACCTTATATTATAGTTATCCATAGTTATGTAACTATAATAATTCAATATGTAATAAATTAATAAACTTTTAGGTACCTCTTAAAATTAATTATCCAAAATATGCAAGTTATATGCAGGGTAGGCGGCATAGACCCACGCCTAGGGGGGCACTTAAGCAGCACTTTAGTAAGAGGGCGGAATTTTCAAAATACTTATTATATTATATTGTTAAGGGCCGCAAAATTTAATTTAGATTATTTTATTATATCTAAATATTAACTTACATTAATAGCATATTAATAATTTTTTTTTTGTTTTTTATAAAGTTTTAACAAACCATTGCCTAACAGTCCGCCATTTGTGGCTTATCTGGGAAATCTACCACAAGGAATAACACAAGGAGATGTTGAAAACTTATTTCTTCAAAGCCAGGTATTGCTCAGTATAAGTATTTTAGATTTTTAGTAGTGAACAAGATAAGATGTATTTTGTATCATCCACTATACTAAACAAAACTCTTCAAGTCAACTACTTGAAGTACTCATTTCTTATTAAATAATAAATAATCTTTGTTTTAGTTGCAAATTAGAAATGTGCGGTTGGTTCATGACAAAGAGACTGATATGTTCAAAGGTTTTGGGTATGTTGAGTTTGTCACTCTAGAACATCTGAAAGATGCACTTCAAATGGAAGTCTTTATTGAAGGACAAAAAATCAAAATTGATGTTGCGTCTGGAAAACGAAATGAACGATCAGGATTTGATAGAGGTGGCAGGGGTGGTGGCAGAGGTAACTATTAATTCATCTTACACATTAAATATTTCAAATCATATTTTAAGCATTTATGTCAGGTCTTATCTAATATAATTAATATTTGGTATGTGAAAATTAGATAAGATTTATTTTATTTTTATATTACCTACATTTAATAAAATATACAAACTTGAATCTAATATATTTTGTTTGTTTTAAAAATAAAATAATGATAAAATAGATTTTATCTACTAATCTTTATCATGACAAGTACACCCGAAATAAAAATAATAAAATAGAATTCATTGCTTTAAATTAATTTGTATATAGGCTTGTAACAGTTTAACCAGAAGTTCCCAACCAGGGTGACGCAAACTTAATTTAGGGGTCCCTTAAATTATTTGAAATATATTGCTTATATAGGGCTAAATATAGGGTGCCTCAAAATCTTTAGAAAATAACTAAAGGTACCGTGAATCGAAAAAGGTTGGGAACCTCTGGGTTAACCTATATGAGGTATGTTTTTGAGGCACATTTAAATGCCTAGAATTTCCTAATTAAAAGTAAAAATAATTTGTCTTCCACAAATATATGGTAAAACTGTTATACATAGGTACTACAATTATGATTAAATACAATTTAAAAAAACTAGATCAATATGATCGGATTAATTTGAATAATTGATCAGCGTATCTTGATTATAACCATAATGTAATCATCAGTGAAGTATGATGAAGAATATTTTACTATAAACATGTGCATATGACAGAATACTTGTTACATTGTTGTGTTATCGCAAAAATCAATTTTAAAAACTAATGTGTAATTAATAGACATCAAATTAAGTTGTAATTATTCATTTAAATATTTTTATAGGTGGTGCTCCAGGAAGTTTTAGCAATAACCCTGGAATGCGCAGTAGGTCTGATGATTTCACTCAAAATTCAGGTACATATTTAAATTTGTTTTATTTAATAAATATTCTCCTATATTCAAATGTATTCATAGTTTCTACAAATTGTAATATTATGTTTTATTGCTATGATTAATACTCATTGCTGTTCACAAACTGAATATATTTGCTGAGGAAATTGTATGAGAATATTGTAAAACATAATTATTATAAGATAATCTAATAGGTATTTCTATGATTAATACTCATTGCTGTTCACAAACTGAATATATTTGCTGAGGAGATAGTATGAGAATATTGTAAAACATAATTATTATAAGATAATCTAATAGGTATTTCTATGATTAATACTCATTGCTGTTCACAAACTGAATATATTTGCTGAGGAGATTGTATGAGAATATTGTATAACATAATTATTATAAGATGATCTAATATTTATTTCTATGATTAATACTCATTGCTGTTCACAAACTGAATATATATGCTGAGAAAATTTTATGAGAATATTGTAAAACATAATTATTATAAGATAATCTAATAGGTATTTCTATGATTAATACTCATTGCTGTTCACAAACTGAATATATTTGCTGAGGAAATTGTATGAGAATATTGTAAAACATAATTATTATAAGATAATCTAATAGGTATTTCTATGATTAATACTCATTGCTGTTCACAAACTGAATATATTTGCTGAGGAAATTGTATGAGAATATTGTATAACATAATTATTATAAGATGATGTGATAGGTAGGTATTTGAATATTTCTATGATTAATACTTATTGCTGTTCACAAACTGAATACATTTGCTGAGGAAATTGTATGAGAAATAGTGAAATAAACTTATAAATTATAATATAAAACTTATTAATTCTATGATTAATATTCAATGCTGTTCACAATCTGAATTTATTTGCTGAAGTAAATTATGAGAATTAAATTGATAATACTATTATTATTTCAAAGATAATTTTTTATCAACACTAATGGTTGCACTTTTATTATAAACGTTTGTAGGCTTTTCTGGTGGTAATTTCCGCAATCAAAACGGAGGAATGGGTGGTGGAATGGGCGGTCGAGGTAATTTCATGGAACAATCTGGAGGAGGTATGAACAGGTATCCAGACAGTGGTTCACGAGACTTTAATCGACCAGGAAATGCTTCGCAATTCCCAGGAGGAAGTCGTAGTGAACGTAGACCAGATTTTGAAAGTTTACCACCACCACCAAGTAAGTGTTATAATTATTTAATGTTTTATTGTGAATGAGTTTACACTGATTCCAATCTAATTATCAATATATGTTCAGAATATTGACTAATCATAACTTAATGTGTGTGTTAAATATAAATTAATAGTCTTCATTGGTATGAATAACTAAATGTCAGTATTGTTTGATAAAATAATACAATTACCAACAAGTATTGAAGTATTAATTAGGTTTTTTTAATCTGGTAGGTACTATTTACTTTTACAATTTTTTTAATTAAATATGAAATATTGTTATTAGTATAATAGATGTTCCCAACCTTTTTAGTTGTGTGAATCGCCTATTTTGTAAAAAAAAAAACCGTTGAGGCCCACTTCTCTATAATATACAGATAAACAAAATATAAACATGCACAATATAAACCAGTAATTAGAAAAATGTACTTTACATAAAAAATTTAAAAAAGAAAATAAGTTTATTGAATTCAACTCAAAAACAAGTGGTCAAAGTTAAAAAAAAAACTCGTTTGCATAGATTGGTTATCAAAAACCTCATCAAGTCAAGTGTTTGAATGTAATTTTTTTTGCAATTTCTGAAATGGCTGTCTGAACACTTACCTAGAATGGTACAAATAACGTTGTTTTAATAAACAATTTTAGGTTCTGGTGGCATGATAAGTTCTCTTTTCTTGATGATATTTAAACATTTTTAAGTCATCCTCTTCAAAAGGATTTCTGATCTATTGGATTTCATCTTTAATTTTAAGAAAATATATTGATTTATAAAATAATATAAAAATCTTGATGTTTATGTCAATTAGGATAAATTAAAATTTGCTAACCCTTCGTTTAGACCAGGGTTGCCAACTTTTTCCAATAAGGGAGCCTCATTAAGAAAGTTAAGTATCTGGTGATCTACAAACTTTTTGTTAAGGCTATTATTACATGCAGCATAATAATATTCTTCTTTCATTATTTCTCCAACATTTTATATTTTTATTCTCTAATAAATACTTAACTGTGTGTATAATGCATTCATATGTCCGTACGCATGGTCAATTTTTTTATCACATAAGCCATAGGTTAACATGTCTTATGTGAGACATACATTGACTAAACTTTAAGATTACACACTTGATCAATATATATATTAGTTAATTAATATAAGATCGACTAATACTCTTCTAAAAATCGACTGATGACGTCTTTGGTTTAGACTATCAACAATGGTTTGGAACCGCTGAAATAATCTATGAAAATCTAATGAAAATTTTATAAACTTCATTAGGATCAGCATATTTACTTAAAATTTCATAAAATTATAATTCTCATTGAATGATATAATTTGTAATCTTTAATTTACAAGAAATTCTGTTAAATTGTAATATATTTTTTAAATAAATATTATCCTTTTTTCTTTACTAATTCTGGTTATCTTAGGCTTTTATTTTTAATGAAAATATCTAGGATATTTTTCTAAATTATGTAGACATATTGTATATATTACATTTTGAAACAATATTTATTGAAATAAAATTTAAGATTGTAAAGTATATCATCACATATTGTATTTTTCTTTTTATTAGGCAATCTGTTACAAAAGTCAAAAATATGCTTAATTGATAATATTTGTTTAAAGTACATAGGAAACACAGAGTAAAAAGACCTCCAAATGAAGGTACATCATAAACTTCTTACCTTTAGATATTATAAGAGGTCAATTCACTCTAATTTTCAAACTAACAAAGCTACACGTGTTCTGCTGAGCGTAAAATTTGCTATGTTACTCACTTGTAAGATTGAGACAACACACATGCGGGTGTGGCGTCCTCTTAAGAAATGAAATGAAAAATACCAATTGCCATTTATAAGTAATAAACTTAGGTTTATTATACAATATTAAAATGTTATTTTATTAGCAAAAATTTGGCGTTTTATTTCATGACAAATAGATAGATATCATCAAAGTTTTTTGATTCATTCTCTGCTTTTTACTTCACTTATTTTAGAGATTGTAAACCTATAACACTTATACATCTATACACATTTTCACATTTACACTATTCACATCTTTTAGTGACACACTCAACTGTTCAAAAAATGATTGTTCGTCGTAAAAGTTTGTAATCAAGAACCATTGATTAGCACATAAAATAAAATGTATAGATTATAAAGTAACATCATTACTAAGATAAAATATTAAGTTTAATGTAATGTTTGTCTTGTTTTTATCATTCAACATACCACGGATGTAGGAATTTTTTAAGTTTAAAAAAGGATCATCAAATTAATTAACACAGGGAAAATAAAATTTGCCAAATTTTCCCTGACCTATATTGTAGTTCTCCACTTATTGGCTGTCAATCATATACATACATAAATACCATGAACAAAAATCAACCCATCAGAAATAGAGACTATGACATGGGCTGGAGGTGAGGGAGATGCACATACTAAACAAAACTATTACAACTGTGATAATACCTTCTTTTTTTTTTTATTGAACAAAATTGTTTTTACAATCTGTAATTACAATATATATTACAATAAGTAAATGGGAGGGGGGAAGTCACCCATTGGTAACACCCCATAAATTGTGATAATACCTATCTATTTTTTCATGTCTTATAATATATTGTACAAAATTATTGGTGTCTATTAGTTTATTCTTGAGTTATTATTCCCTATACCTAAGTACTTAACAAATGTACATATTATTTTAGATGATCCAGGCAGACCTAAATTACAATTGAAACCAAGGACCATAAAAGAACCACTGAATCAATTGGCTGATTCTACTCAGCATACAAGTATATTTGGAGGAGCAAAACCTCGCGAAGAGAAATCACTTCCTGACGTTGTGAAGAAAACATCACCATCGCATTAATACAAATATATTTATTTTGTGCCAGATTAACATTCTAATGGACATTGCTTTACTGTTTACAAGAACTTGTGGTTTTTTTTTTTACATTTTATCATTTTTTATACATACCGATAGCAAACAATAAGTTTTTATGTGTATGTTGGCAATAAGTTTATTACCTTCACATAAATTGTTGTAATGTTCATAAGCAAAACTTTTGTGCTCTTTGAGCATAATGTTCACTTAAAGTATGTATTTATATATATGTACACTATAATAATGAGTACAATTATGCCCTTAACTGTACTAGTATAGTTAATAGTTTTATTTTATTTATATTGTATGTGATTAGGTATTACATACTAATTAATTGTAGTTATTAAGTAGTTTTCATTTATATTAATACATTAAGAAATTTGTATAAAAATATTAATAATAATTGCTTAATAACAATTTATCTTATATCATCTAAAATATTTTTTAAAATAAATACACAGTTTAATAATTCCAATCATTAAAGAATCGTGTTCATAAATAATGTGTAGAATTTTATATTTCATTCAGTGTATACTCCTTTTCAAAATAGAATATACCGGTCGGTGACCAATTTATGTCTGGCGGCGCGCATTCCCCACCAATTTCCCATTGTTAGTGTGATCATGTGGTTCTTGACGCACCAATCGAATCATTTGACATGCGCTCAAGCGTTATATTCTCTTTTGAAAAGGAGTATAGTTTTAAAGAAAATGTCCTTAACACATTGAACGCCGGTGTCAACCCGTAGTTGACATAGGGTAACCTGTTTTGTATTGATTTTTTTTTGGTGGCTATAGCTGAACACATTTGAAATTTCTATCGGACATTCATAACCGTATTGACTATTGCGTAAAATCTACTAATTTTACAATCGGCGACGGCCAATACAAACAATATTTTGGAAAGTTGTTTACTTGACTCAGGAGCCTGGAGCATCCGGTCATATGTGCTGTAAAATATTATCATTTGCAAACAATAAATGGAAAAATAATTGTCTTTTAGACGTACTATTTGTGCCTGAATTAAAATATAATTCATTTTCAGGTTGTACAGCGTCAGATAAAGGTTTAGCACTATCGTCAGATAAAAATTAATGTGGGTTTTTAAAAAACGGACCAATAATCACCAGTACACGTGCAGAGAGACAAGGAAAACTATTTAAATTTTAAGTTCAAAGTCATCACACTCAATATGGAAGAACCACAAATGAATATTGTTATCAAGGAAAGGGAAACATTAAGATTATGGCATGAAAGGCTAATTATTTCAAAGTCATCAAAATATAAAGTATGTTACTAATATATAATTAGTAATAAAACATTAACAGATAGGGAAAACCTTTTTTTCTGTGATTCATGGGTAATGCGGTAAACAGCTCAAACGAATATTTAAGTCTGATGACTAGTACAACGGACACACAGTTGTAGGAGAGGTAATACACACGGACTTATGTGAAACAATGGAAAAGAAATCTATTAGTGGGTCCAATTATTTTTTATTATTTGAACACGATTATTGGCATTATATACCATTATAGAATAGTATATTTTATAAAATATAAAAGCGAAGTGAAGATTTTAATCGAAATATTAATCGGTACATAAAATAAAAACAGAGATACAGGTATAAGGTCGAAGTATTACGAACTGAGCCGTCTCAACGGATTTCGGAGCCCGGTTTAAGGGGGGGGATTCAGGGCCGTTAGTATATCATTGAATTCAAATTTAATACCATCGATTATACAATGACCCACTTGTACCCTACTGTACAGCAGAGCACCTTTTTTTGTTTATCAAACTTAAATAACTTTTATTTTGGTTTTGATATCGGAAATATAAAAACAAAGTTACAGAGTAAATTTTCTCATTTTTATAGTGTGAACATCTAAGTTTCTTAGCTTAGAGTAGAGCCTGAATGTTTTTCATACCCGTGCAAAACAGTTTTGCCTATGTTGTAGGTACCTACGTCTGTAATACGGAGACAACACATGTGGGTGTACCTAGCGTCTTCTTTACAATCATACAGACTATTTGATACATTGCACTTTAGAAATTATTGTATACACTATACAAATTAAATCTAATGCAATGCAGAAATATTATGATTAGGGGGGGGGGCAAAGCCCCCCACGGATCTGTGAACCATAAATTATCCCAGCACCCCCGAAATTCACATCCAATGTGCGCCTATGGGTAGAAGGTATATAGTTTTTGTAAAGAAATGCCGGTGAAAAAAAAATATTACTGGTCGGCTATCAGTGTTGCTTTTAAAATTCAGATTAGCTAGTATGATTCTAATGAACAAAATGTTGTAATCCATGGATAAATTTGAAATTTGCTACGATACAAAATAATATTATTTTTTTAAATATTAATTTCGGATATTTATAGAGTAAAGACTAAAGACATGAGCTTAACTTACGTATCTAATAAATTTTATTGTGTACTTATGTATTATTATTTGCGTTACTTTATGCGAGTATCACTGTCGAGGAAATACGGACCAGTACAGTGGCGTAATTTGGTCATATTTGTGGGTGCCGGTTGGGATTACATTTACCCCCCCCCAGTGGCGTATCTAGGATTTTTTCAAGGGGGGGGATATAAAAATTTTGTAATGTGTAAAAATAATAATAATAATTAGTAGGTATCATAATCTAGTATAGTTTAATTTCTAAAATCTAAAATTAATACAAATTCTAAAAACAACAACCGATTGGAACTTTTATTAATTATCATTGATCACGGACTTCAGTTAACTCACAACGGTCGTGTATGATTCAACTATTCTGGGTATTGTGTTAATATTTAAGTTGAGTACCTAATTCTACCTAAATTAAAATGTATTTTTTTCGTGACGCGTGTTTACATTAATCTTTTAATTTGGTCAAAATATGACTGGGTTGACAAAAAATAAATGGGTTGTGTGGCTAAAAATATAAAATGAAACTGCTCAAGAATCGAAAATAATTTCTGGTATGTTTAATAAACAGATAAAACTTGAGGTGATAACTAAGCAATAAAAAAAAATATATTTTAATTTAAGATAATATTAATTTGTAAATATATCGTATACCTATATAAGAGTAATAGAGTATGGACTATAAGTGATGAATCAGGTAAAATTAATTTATAGATAACGCAGATGATATATTTTCAAAAATAAAAAAAAGAAGATATCCTAATAAACTACTAATATTTTCGTTTATCAATATAAATATAGCCGTATAATAGTTTGCAGACTTTTAACTGATATATGCGTATACAATTGTTTTTTTTAAATATCTGCTACCTTATATTTAAAAATTATGTTACCTAGTTAATAAAAAGGGTACCATAAACAAATTTAAGCAGATAATATGTAGTTGTGAGTGGTTTTTTTTTACCCATTCGGGCTGGTCAAAACCTTTGCCCCCTCTATTGAAAAACGAAATGATGCCACTGGTTGTATGATATTATTGAATTTAATACCATTCATTTTCGTTCATAGTTTAGGTTTTAGGTGAGCTGTTCAATCTTCATACAACTATCAAATAATTGTTTTAAATAAAAAAATAAAAATAACCTTCCCGGGGGGGGATATGACCCCCATATCCCCCCCCCCCGTAGATACGCCACTGCCCCCCCCTACCAAATTTTGGTTTATATCATAAAAACATCTCAGTCCTACCATTGTGATCTGTTATCTGTACAATGTAAGTAGTCTATAGGTACTATAAATAATAAATGCATGCGTACATTAAAATAAATAATTAGGTAGGTACATACTATTACTATTTAATAAAGTTTTAAAATGTACGTTTTCGAATAAATTCGTGGAATAACACGTACAATACTCAAAATTGTAGTTTTAAAACATTTGTGTTATTCTTTTTACCCAAAAAATCAGGTGTGAACCTTGTAAGATATGTTTCAGACATTCAGAGTTTGTAGATTCAGCCAGGGGTGTTTAGATAAGCGGTGGGAATTGGTCATTAGTCGGTGAAGTTTTAAACGTTATTTAACCATTTTTTGACCCATCCTAGTAAAATAATTATAAAAAAAATTATATAAAAAGAGAGTTCTCTTTTAAAAAGAAATCTTTCATAGTAAATTAAACCAGTTTCATTATTTATTCAAATAAAAAAAAATTACTAACATTTTATTATGTAACATTTATATGTAGGCAATCCTATTGTTATTCCATTATTATTATTTTTATTTTACATTTCATTGTTAAAGGTTGATTTTATAATAACACTGATTACAGTTGTAGACCACCCTTTAAAATACTAAAAAAATTACTATCTTCATTCTTCAGTATGGTACACCGTACACAAGCCAGTTGCCCCCAATCTCCTAACAAATAGTGGGCCGGTAAAAAAGTATTGTCCCGGGCTGGTCCGAAATTCCAATGCGTCCCTGCTTACAAGTAACACTGGGGGGTCCGGGGGTCTCCCCCGGCTAGACCAGAGGGCTAGTATTTATATAATCGTGACATTCGTGAACAATCACATATGAGAATTGATGAGGCAGTTCCGCAGTGTAGGAATACACAATAAATAATAATACACCTTCGACCTACCTTAGAAGATCTTTGAGCATACCTACCTGGCTTGTAGAACAGCGCTTATTAAGACTAACTACGAGACTGCGCTAGTGATCTTGAAAAAAGAAAAAATGCCGATATCACAGAATATATTGACCACTGTGCGAGGCGCAATTTGAAGATTTTACTTGGGGGGGGGGGGGCTGGACAAATTTATATGAAATAGACACACCCACACCCCCCTTCAGCATATCTATTGAAGTATTACTGGATTTTTGTATTATGTTTCATTGAGTTGACACACTACGATTATTAGTAATTTGTTTAGTTTTAGATACTCCTTTTAAAATAAAAGATACATAAGTTCTCACTCCATACACCCATCCAGAAACACAATAAAATACACTTTCAAATGTCTTAAACAATTTAAACAAAAAAAATTAATACATTTGGATCAG